AAAGGAGAAGAAAGAAGGGTACCCCTGCCCCCACGGTATTTCTCATTCGCCACCCCACGCCATGGGCCAGAGCCGTTACCGTCGACGGTGAAGACCCGCGCGCTCGCCTCGCAAAGTAATTTCGCTTAAAAACGTAATTAGTGTGCGCCGAGATGGGGTTGAGGGAAAAAAATCGTTAGGGGTAGCCGAGTTTTTTTTTCCATGGTGGCTGGGGCGGCGGGGTGGCGGCGCGTTGCGCGAGGGTGCCCTCCGGTGCGGAGCGAAGCCGCTCGCTTGGGGTCTCACCCTCGGCCCCGCGCACCACTTCGTCGGCGTGGATCTCTCCTTTTTTCCGTCTCTCTCTCCTGATCAAATCTTCGGGGTGGACTTCTCGAGTGGAGCGCCGCGCGGAGTAACTCAGCCGTGGGCCGTATCGAGCCGCGTCTTCGCCGCGCTGTAAGGAAGTTGAAAGGATAAAGGATAAGGTGGGGGGGGTCACGAGGGGAGGCGGCAGTCGGAGTCGGAGAGTATAGATTGATAGCTGAGGAGAAGAAAGGAAAGCGACGGATTCTTCAATCCGAAATGACCATCGTTACTCTGGCCTCGAACGCTCGCTCGGGTCCGACATTCTGTTTCTTGCGTTTGCGAGAAACGCAGAGCAATTTGTTTAGAGCGGTACAGCTAGAGTCTGGCTTTATAGGGATTAATATGTATGGTATTAAAGCTATCTTTCATCCTGTCGCACAGTTCTCATATCTCCGTATATTCTTTTATGAAATTTTTCAAGTGAGAATAATGTAGGAAATAAACTGATGTCCGTTGAAACTCGATTATTACCACTCGTTAATTTTTACGGTCTTGAAATTCGAGACTGAATAACTAATTCAGTGGAGAATCCAAAATATTGCCGCACGTTAAAAATAAGAAAAAACGCTCTTTATTTATATTCTCGACAATGTCACTCGCGATGCACAAATCTTTTCGCAGTTGCAAAGCTGGGAAACCCGCGATGACCCCTTTATTAATAATGAGGCATAACGCGCGCGTGTATCAAGATCAAGCGGACGGGGCATGTCCCGGTATAGAATTCGTGAGTGGGCGTGGATACCCTTTAACATCGTTTTTACAACGCCCCGAGTGTTACGCGGTCGTATAGCCCCATGACACCCTCTCTCGATCGAGTGCAGATCGATTTGACACAAAAAGCCCGGTTCGCCACGAAACCCCTACGCTTCTTCAAAGCCACTTTGAAATCATTTTCGTGACGTGTTATCGTCCCCGCGGTGCGTGTCGGTGAGACTAATCCCGCGCGATACGTTCGGTGAATCGGCGTGCGAGGAACACGGCTTCCTTTCTCTCGTCCTCTTCGAGGCGAATTCAATTATTCCGATGGCGCGCGTTAGAAGTTCATTATACTTTATGTGTCACCTGCCTCCCTCTTTGTCTCCCACCGCGGCGGTTCGAATGCGACGCGCTATATAACAAAAGAAAATAAATTTTCAGTAAAAGCAAAGTGCTACGGCATAAACACCCTGTCGAGCGTGCAACACCTGAGGCCAGGACTTATGCGCCTGTTTGCGCGAGGGAAAGAGAGAGAGTGTCCTTAGTTTAATATCGCATTTACGTATGCACTCGCGTTTCTCGTTACGAGCATGATATGCTTTAACGTGATCTAATATAGACTTATATTGTTGTAAGATGTTTCTAAAGTACGCGAACGTAAAAACCTGAAGATTTTTCGATCCTTTATCGAGTTCTTTTCATTGACGAACCATAAATAACATAATGTGAACGCTCGTGAATACAAAAGAGCGGAAAAAGTATTGTACAATAACGCGTCACACGTATCGAACGAAAAGCTACTTAAAAATAGGTTCCGTCACAGAACAAATTTTTAAACTATCTGCGCCTTTGATTAAAATCTTACGCTTTTTCGCGTCGTCCTCGCAGCGTCGGAGGGCATTTGCCAGAAACGAACAAATATATAGGAAGACAATAAAAAAGAAGCAGCGTCGCTTTTTCTGGAATCGCGGCAATAGAGAAAAAGGGAAGAGGGAAAGAGAGAAGCTGATTGAAGCGGGCACGATGTTTAATTCAACGAAACCGAAGACACGCCCCGCTAACTACGGAGCGAGTTTCGCCATCGACCCCGAGGAAAACTCCGATGGAGCCCTGCGCGCGATATTCCTTTCTCCTTCCCTTAAATCCCCCCGGTAATTGCTTCTCTCCTTCAGCGGCCCAAGCGCGAGCTTGCGTGCTTTTAGGATAGTCGTATCGGTGAATGACTGGACACGAGTGAACGAGCGGTTAAACCGCAGATCAGAAATTTGTGCGTTCAAGAGTGATTTGGAGCCGGTATATCGCTAGCGTCGAATAAATTTTCATGCACTTATCCGGAAGTATCTAGAACGGTAAATCGCAACGTCGCACTTATATAATTCACTCATTGATCGTCAAATATATATTACTTCGATACTCTCACGTTACTCTGCGTCTAAATACAGAACATCGAGATTGCTTATCGTAATATTAATTTTTCGAACGAATCTAAAATTTTTTTTTATTTTACCTCGACAACAAATCGCAGAAAAAAATCGATGACTCGAGGAAAGCGCAAGTAAATTCGCGAAAAAACGCCATCGCTACGACAGACCTGCCATTTTGTCTCGGGTGCAGCAATTATCGAGGTTGCATTGCGACGTCAGGCTTGCAATGCGCATGTCCTCGAGGGTGAAAGGGTTAAAAGGCTTCCCCTCCCTTACAGCGGAGGGAAGGTCTCCGTGGTTCAAATGCGCGTCCACTTCCCGCGTTGTTAGAGCATGCGAGAATCCACGCGCGCCGCGAATGCGACGGGGAATAGCGCGTTACGCAGATTTGCGACCGCGCGTCGGCACGCATTTTTCATTAAGCCCCTCTTTTTTTGCCGAGGCACCCCCCTGGGCCGCGTGTATCCACCCTCTGGCGCGCAACCCTTTTTTTTCTATCGTCGACGGCGATAAAAAGCGATCCGGGTGGCGAGGCACGGGAATGATCGGTCGCGTGCGTTCTGTTTTCTGCCGCGGCGAGACGCAACAAAACAAGCTCGTGAACGCGCGGCGCGGCAAGAAAAAGCTCACGGAGAGCCGAGACAATAACGTCGGCGCAGCTGGTTAAACGCGGAAGGGTTGCCGATTAGCATAAAAGGGCACGATTACACGGACGCGGGGCGGAATCGGATCATGCCGGGCCAGGCTGGCTGGCGGTACGATAGGCGTTTTTGCCCGCCGAAATTGCGTGTATGCGAATGAGTGGCTCGCCGCCGCGTGTCGCGCAAAAAAGAATTAAGCAAATACTTTTAGCGGCAGATTAAAAATAAGACAGGTATTTATTTGACAGGGGTTTGTTAGTATGCTGAAACAAAAACGCGTTCTATATTTTGTCTTTACTATGCGGTGTTTTTTTTTTCTGCAACATTTGTCAAAAACGTCAGAAAAACGCGCGATTGAAACAAAATTACTGTCATCAAATCGTGCGAATCTATACGCAAGTTATAAAGCAATTGTACATTTGAGCAGTTCATCAATAATTGATAGATTTGTTGGCGCACATGTTGCTGGTTGCAATTATTTGTCGAAAAAGCATTCCTCTATATAAAAAGATAAATCAAACAGAAGGATATAAATGTGCGGCCGGGTGCGCGTGCGAGTTGATCGAAAATATTGAAGAGGGTAACCGAAAAATTGTCGATGGAGTTATAAAAGTGGGTTCCGTAGCCTTTCAACAGTCCCCCCCCTCGTCCCTTGTGTCCCCCTTGTACGCCAAGCCGCAAAAAGCAGACGTGAAGTCGCCAGCCCCAAAACACAAACAACAATGCATTATTTATATGTCGTTCAGATTATTGTGTCGGCACGCGTCTTCTTTTCGGAATGATAATTTAATGAATTTTATCTCGTTAAGAAATAAGAGAAAATTACCGTAAAAGAATGAGAAGAGTAAGAAAGAAAATTCGGGCAACCGCTTGTCTTATTTTTTACTACTTTTCCACTCTTTGGCCTCTGTCTTTTTTTTATCGTTAAAATAATATATAATTTTGAGATATAATTATATCGTCCATTGTATTCTGGACGAGTCCTTTATGAACTCTACGTGAGAATGGAGCGGAAAGCAACAATCGGGAAAGAATTCGTGAAACGACTGTTGCAAGAGAAGTCTCGAACCAATGACGACTGTGGTGCGAATTAAAGTCTACAGGGTGCTATTCTAATTTTTGGAAACCGTTGCCTCGCTCACCCTCCGACACGTGAAACGCGTCATCGATTCGTTTGCACGTTCGTTTCGACTTTCTCACAATTTTTTTTGTCTTCGTTTCTGTCGCATTATTCGATCGAAAAAAAATGCGATGATTGTCGTCGTGGAATGAGAAGAAACCGCCTTGCGCGAAGAGAGAAGAGGATGAAAGAAACGTCGGCTTTGCCGGTGTGCATTCTTGCAAATGCCGCGGTAACTGGAGAAAGAAACGTGCTCGTTAAATTATAACAGCTACCAAGTTCCGCTTCCGGATAAAAGAGACGTATCGGAATGTGGAAGGAGGAGGGCCGTGGTTCGTGGATGAAAAAGGAGGGAGGAGCGAAAGAGAGAGCGAGATCGCGGAGGGCGGCTCTATATGCATACGAGAACATTCAGATGTCAATCAAGACTCGGGATCTTTGGACGCTGGGGTGTCGGGCTCGGAACACGATTTTTCCGCTAAAAATTTACGTATTCATTCACGCGAGGACACCGCGCGAATGGAGAACGTCGGTAGGGGCAGATTACGAGCGGGAAGTCTGTTTGCTTTTTCATCACTCTTGACTTCGTGTTCGAGAGCATATTTTTTGCGCCAACCGTCATGCATTGTTAACGTCAACTCGCGTCTTTTTTTTTTCCATACATTGCTGCCAATAACGGTGGAAACGAGTCTGTGTCGCGAAAGGTGCACGAAAGTCGCAAAGGACAGGAGAGGTCGTATTGTATTTAACAAAGTTTCTTCTCTAAACTTTTAATGAACTGCGTATGATTTATTGTGGCTCGCAGCGATATCATTTCACATCGCACATGTTCTCGCGCACGACACAACAAGTAATAACGTAACGACGTACCGTCATATGAAATTATCGTAATGAACTCTCTTGTAGAACCGAGAGATATATGAATTGATGGAAACCACTGGGCTTGTAAAATCGATATCGAAATCACACGTAGATCAGCCGTTTCTGCATTCCACGCGATCGGCGTTGGCCGGCCAGTCGCAGATGAGCTTGGAGCTATTGAAGATCAAACCGGGCGCGCATTGCGTCTTAATTGGTTTACCGTGATTGCAAACGTAGTACTGCAACAGATATACAATTTATAATATTTAATCGATTCGCATACAAATTAAACGTCATATCTTAAGGTGCCTCAAATTATTAAAAAAAAAGGATTATATTTTTGATATTTGATCGTAAATAATATGAAAATAGAAATATATAATTGATTCGATGTAACTTCGTTACGTACTGTTCGACAATCCTTGCTGGGGATGATGTTCGGTCCGTTGCAGCTCACTTCGTCGTCATCGACTGGTTTCGAGGTAGGACGAGGTGGCTCGGTAGATTCTCCGGGTCTCTTGGTCGGCTCGGGTTCGGGTCTCGATGTCGGTTTTGGTTTCTCTTCACCCGTGGAGGATGGAGTGCTAGGCGGCCTGTCCCATTCGGGCTAAACACAAATCACTATTGTTACCGAATGCTCTTTTTCAGATACACACACAATATTCCAATGGAAATTTAATGGCTAATTAACATCTTACTCTGGGTGTGGTTTTGTAATTTTTCTCTGTGACTGTGTAACCCTTCAGGCCTTCGTAGATAGTAGTCATGAGAGGATTCGCAGGACCGCAAAGTCCTCTGAAATCGTCCATGTCGACGGCCCAGACCATGGCACCGAGATATTTCTTTTCCTTCAGGAAGTTCATCTTGTGGACGATGCTATCAGCATCCTCGTAGCCGACCCATTGAGTGTCTGCGAAGCAAGAATTGCTGATAATTTGAATTATTGCAAATTAAGTAAATTAAAAAGAATTATATGGAGAGAGAAAAACAGACGGGCGACCTGACAAAAACTAAATAAAGCATGATCTATTCAATTTTACGAAAAATGGACGCAAATAAAATTTTATAATAAAATTTTATTCATATAATGAATATGTCAATATAAATGGCTAATTAATAATGAATGAATATTTAATCTATATTTATTTCTACGATCATATAAAATAGTATAATTATGTTTTTTCAAAAGGATGCATTATTAAACTCGAAAATTTATTTCAATCCTGAAAAATAAGGATGCGACGAGAATAATATTTCCAGGTTAGCAAAGAAATTGAATTATCGAACAATATTTTCCAATCCGGTCATTCATCCTGTAACGTTCACAAATAAATTCCCCGCACTTTATTTACGGAGTTTCCAAGAGGAACTTGCAAAGCGTTCTATAAATTTCTCCGCAGAACTTTCACGGCGCAAGTTCTCCAAAAATTAAATTCACCTTTGTACATGTAGGGCACCAAGCCTTTGTCGTCGTATGCCTTGGTCCATCCGTTGTCCGGTTTCATAAGTTCCATACAGATCTGTGAAAGAGATAATATGTTGATGCGGTGAATCCGGTCGCTCATGCCGCGCGGCTTTCATTCGCTTTTGCTTTCCGGATCGATCACTTACTTCGTAGTAAGCCAAGAATCCTTTAGCTGCGGTGTACTTGCCGGGCGCACCGCCACCGGCTTCTTTGTTGATATAAGTTCCGGGTTTGTAGTCCTTGTTGCCCTGGCTGAGGGTGAAGGTGCGTCCGTACAGCGGGATTCCTACGACGAGCTTGTTGGCGGGGCAACCCTTGTCTTCCCACAATTGGAGACCATCGTGCTAATGACAAATATCGACAGACGCGATTTATTCATACTTGTACTGATTGAAAATCTCAAGATAGCAAATGATCCTTTTACATATAATTAGTACCCTCGCTACAATCAACACAATAATCCATAAATATACTTTATCATCGATGGAAATTCATTATATCTGTTGCGTGAGAAGCGTGCGAATAATTCTACCGATTAAAAATCATAATTAACGCACCACATTCAATTTTTCATAGGCGTACTGATCGTGAGGTCTTCTGTAAAGTGGACTATGGACGTCGGCGAATCCACCCCAGTTGCCACGAAGATCGTAAGACATCACGTGGATGGCATCAATAAGCCTGCAATTACTAAATGGTTATCGAATAATTAATTATTAAAACAATAAGAAACAGGGTATTAGATCTTGTTTCTAAACGACGAAGGAACTTGCTCGCATAATTCTGGTACGTGGTATCCCTCGTTAAGACGAAACGTGGCCATCGGCACCGCCATAGTGATCTCCCAGCCTTTGCCTGCCTTGTCGAACGCGGTCCTCAGCTCTTCGACGAAGTAGAAGAAGTTGTTCTTGTCGCTAAAAGTGCCGCCTCTATCCGTAGCAGCCGGATATTCCCAATCAAGATCGAAGCCGTCGAATCCGTACTGATTCATGAAAGCTACGAGCGCGAAATTAAAAATTAATCAAATTTATCTATCTTCTCTTTCGAACGTGCATTACAAAAGCAGTATCATAAATAATGTTTCAGGTCTCCACACTCACCGACGATGCCGCTGATGAGTGAGTCACGTCTGGGTTTCGAGCTGACCATTGCGCTGTATTTTCTGCCGCCTTCGGCCCAACCGCCGATAGCGATCTGAGTCTTCAAGTGCGGATACTTTTCTTTTAGAGCGACGAACTTGTTGAAGCCGCCCTTCTGGACGTCGAGCTCCTCGTCGAGAATGAGCACGTCCCAAGTAACGTTGCTCACGCCGATGAAGGAGTAGATAACGTGCGTGCACATTTCAGCGGGAATGTCGTCGATGCCATAGCTGCCTACGTCCGGACGATATATAGCCCAATTGCTGAAGTAACACACCAGCCTTGGCTTTTCTGAAACGTAAAGATATATAAAAGTGTTATATTTTAAATTATCACAATTGTTATTAGATTTTTTTAGTGTTTTTGCAAGTGGAACGTGTAACGCGACGCAAAAATCTGCAATCGAGAAACAAATCCGACTTTTATCAATGTAACATTTTACCAGGGCGTGAGCTGATTTTTAATATGTTATCTTTCATTGTTTTACAGCTGAAAGCAACACTCACGATCAGTTGATCCGTACGCCAGAAGAGCCAGGAACACAGGAAGGGAAAACAGCAACTTTCCCATGAAGGACATCATCTTAGAATCTGCAATTTGAGAGAAAGTTAAAGAATAACTTTAGCAAAATAGTATTGAATGCAATTAATTACAGTTAACCAACAATTTGCTATGATAATGCATTGAGTTTATCGCGTGGTTCAAATTTTTTAATCAACATATTACTTTAGCATGCGTGATACAATTAATTTTTATAATGATAAAATTAAGAGAAGCTCCAACTCTCTACCCTATACAAAACTGTACTCCAAAGCCGCGTATTCTAAGCTTCGTGCGGCTTGTTCGGCACTCAACACGTTTCTGCATCGCGGCCGGTTATCCGAGCGCTTCATCCGAGCCTTCGCGGAAACTCCTTGGAGCGTAAAACGATCGATTGATCGAAGTGTCGTCGTGCCTAAGGGGAATGATCTATAACGACCGGTTCTGCGATAGCACAGTGAGCATTGACACCATCGTGAAATCCTCGAGCGACCGTGTACCGTCATAATGACGCTCCGCTCATCCGTGCGTAAACGCGCAGCTACAGCTGTATCCGCCAGAATCATTTTCCGCGATCGCGAAATTAACGCAATCTCGCGAATTTTTTACGAACGTTAAAAATGTTATTTTATAAGCGGCTCAAGTTAGACGTCACCGTCGATTGACAGTATTTTAATTTTTGATGGGTATTATATTTCTAGTGCAAATTTGCGATGTTCATGCTTGAAGATTTCTGCGGTCGTTTTATTCATTATATAATATAAAATTCGAATAAGAGCTTGTGTGATAGTAATTCCGATATAAACGGCTAAGTTAATTTAATGCAGAATTGATATGACATGTCATCTATTATTACAAATATATATCTTCCACTTTTACGACGCGCATATTATAATCATTGATTTAATTAGTAATTAGATATTTATCTTAGTATCTGTTTTTTGCTGAATATATTTAGCTAAAATCAGAACGAATTTATCGATTTGTCTTGGAATAGAATTAAGCAAATGCGGATAACAGTTCCAAGTTTCATAATTAAATTATTCTAATATGTAGCTATTAATACAAAACTAAGTAGTCAAATTAAAGTAGATATGAGACTAATGAACGGATTCAAGGATGGGCGGTTGACTTCATTCGTAGTTCACTGATTCTCACGTTAAGCAACACTTTTTTCCATGATTATTCTTAATTGGGTGTTGACGGATAAAATTCAAGTTACAAGAATCCGGTTGTGAGAAAAAAAAATGAAAAAAACACTGTTCGTGAATTCCGATGAATCGCGAGCTGCAATATTCATTTAGCCGTATGATTTAAAATTCCTGCGAGTCCAGTCGGGCGGTCTGAACGAGGTCTCGTAATTGAAATCGCAATCGCCACCATATTCAACATATTACAACATTCAGAAGAGCCAAGCGAAGAACTGCTTCCGGCATTATCTCAAGGGAATTCCTCGGCGCAATTCTCACCCGATACAGAGGAAACAGAATTACGACTGTAATACAGTTTTGTGGCATTGTAAAACGTATCCCGGGAAAACCTGCTTGCTTAAACTTATTCCTGCGTAAAATTGCGCAACGCTTGCGACTACCGTTTCTGTCTAATTGTAAGAAAAGCAATCGGAAGTCACAGACGATCGCAGGCAGTGACGCGTCACTCGCCGCTTGTCGCATGAAGAAAAATATCTATCTTTGAATAAGTAATTTCCGCTTTCGATAATTACACGAAACGTCCGGGAATATGGAGTGTATTATTTTAATCGTGAAGAGCGGACGAACAGTCGCGAATACCGGTGTTACGGGTTTGTCACGAGTGCGATAGGTGAAATTAACGATCGGGGCGACGGTTAGCAAAAGGGAAAGACGATGTTTTGAAGTTGTAAAATCGTCAAAGTTTCCCCTTGCCTCTCGTTTTCTCTCTTTATCTTTCTCTTCTTTTCTCCGGACAGGAATAACGATCCGAATTCGGCGACAGAGTGAACTGCGCGCGCGGATGGCAAGCCTCTCGGGAGAAATCAAAGATCGTCCTTCGGATTCTACGACCACCGCATGTCGGGATAAAGAAACGGATAATGTCACAGCGGTGGTTAAAAATAAACGAACGCACCGTGCCAGGATCCTCCGTCCGCGACGGCCGATGAGTCCTCGCGCGAATTAAGATGCGCGATGCATCAGTTTCCAGCGACTTCTGTTCCGCTCGTTACACTTTGAATACAAACGGCGAGCGAGTCGACGACAAAAGTTCGCTGGACATTCGCTGTTTTGTTTGGCTAAATTTTTGTCGCGTTACGACATCTCGTCTTGTCGCGCTGTGGCAGTTCGTTTAACTTTAAAGCTGACATTATTTACGAAAAATCGATTGAATTTTAAGAATAGCTTTTAAATTCGCTTGAACTCATCAGTTTTCACACTGTCAACTTTTTTATTGATTTAGACTCGTGTACTAAATTGTACCGTTAAAAACTAATCATCATTCGTTTATTCCAAGAGGAAGCACATCTACCATTTCGCATCGAGCGAAAAAAATCAGAAGCAATGAAACCAAGGACAAAGACGAAATTTGTATTCGAGCAATAGCGTGTAATCGGAATGATGGTACCAGCAATTCATAACAGCTTCATAGAGAGCTCGTTAGAAGTATCCTCGCGTACCGCGATCGCGTTGCTCGCTTTGTCGGAGGCAAGGTAACGGTTCAGTCCGGCTGGACGATGTTAATTAATGTTTTGTTATTCGACATCGATCACGCACAGCGCTCGCCTATCGGTAACGGTGAACTCTTACGAGAATCTTCGTTTCCCCTTTTTTTTTTTTTATTATGGTAATACGCGGCTCACAGAGTCTCGTGACTTATGTGGACACACCTTCGGTCTCTGATCTTCCTGACTATCGCAAAGGAAGCAAAGAAACCGGAGTGAGTTGTGTGTGCCGCGCGAAAAGTCTCAATAAGAATATGTATCTGAAATTTCATCAGATGAATTTTAAATATTGTAATAAAAGTAAAACCATTCCTCGAGGAACTATTCTAGAATCGCGCGGATCGATTTGACAAAATAAATGAGAATATCTGAACGTAAGATGTCTGACATGTAATCTTTATCTGAACATCTATAAGGAATAATTTAAAATAGCTAGTCGAGCGTTTCCAAGTGAAAAACTTGAGAATTCGCAAAGAAAAGTTAAAAATGAGAATTTAAAGAGTGGCTCTCAAATATTTCGACGCAGATGCAACGGGTTGACCTTCGTCTCGGTCGACAAAGCGAGAAACGAAATAATTAAGAGAACAAAAAAAGTGAACGTTCGGTTAATGTCTTGTTGACGATCTTAATGAGATTCCATCAGATTCGCACGTAGGCACCGGTGTGTTGACAATTTTTACGATATCGATGAATCGGCTATCAACAAGATTCCCGAAAATCAATAGAATAAAATAATCGAAATCCTTTCTTGATGACCACTGTATTTAACTCGCAGAAAAACAATCTCCGTGATGACAGACGATTTCAAACAATTATTTTACAGATTTATTTTTTTTTTTTTTTTTTAGGATAGATGATTGGTCTCGTGTGATACTCGCGAGAAATAGATGAGGATTCTCACAGATTTTGAAAAATAAAATTATTCGCAATATGTTTTACTTGCTCATCAAAATTTCTTTGGGAATCTCTGTCTACGCAGTAACACGAATATTACAAGACTATTCTCTGTTTTCAAAGAAGACGAGCAATCTATAGATGAAATAATTAGCTGTCACGAAGACGAGAAACTAATTATATGCAACAGAATATTTAGATATTCTTAGGAAAGAAACCGGTAATTAAGTTGCTTCTCTCTATAATTCTGAATTTTTATCGCATTCATTAATTATTTTCTAAGTATCTAACGTAATTTCTTAACAATTATTATTGACGTTAACCACAAGGAATATGACGACGCACGAACCTGGATCAGTATTCAGGAAAATCGCTCATTATTGACAATCGCATCAATTATTTCATTTAACACGCGATGTTTATTCACGGAAGCGTTCACCAACATTGTTCAAACATAACGCGAAGACAATCGAACAGAGAGACGTGTGATAGGAAATACGAAATGTTTCGCGGAGAGTGCAGCGTTGTGAAAGATAGTAAAGAGAACAGGAGGACTCACCTGCGCGGACGGACAGATACCTCGGAAAAAGCGCGGTCTAAGCCGCGAGCTTAAGCTCATATATACCCAAGTGGACCTCATTAGAATTCAGGTGCACGGGCCCTCGCATGATTGGCTGGTTCGTCGACCCTCTGCCTCCCATCGACGTCCAGGGAGGACGGCAGACGACGCATCTCTCTCGTCGCAGGGCGAAGACGATTCATCATCGCAGCTGCTCGTCATTTGTGCTCTCGCAAATCAATGTGAATTAAAAAAAATGAAAAAAAGCGTCTCGATTTTCTAACGGCATATTAATCAGAAACTCGGCAATGTATCGCAGATACGTGTGATGTCTTTGTTTTCTGCTGCCCGCATTTACGTTCAATCGTTGCGTATCGGATTTCCGCAATTTTAACTTTGTTGAACGCTTTTCTTCAAGTTGTAAAATATATGAAAACGTATTAGAATGGATATTTATTAATGATACTTGATGTATAGTTGTTTTATGAACGTGTAAGCGGCTACAGATTTGGTTTTGGAATGCACTGTAAGCGTGTAAATGGACGTTTAAGAAAAATTGAAGAATAGCGCAATATATCACTAGTTCAATATAACATTCATTTTATTTGACACGTCATCGGGATATCGTGTTATCGACACGGGAATTTCACGCTTGACATTTAAATAGAGTTCTGTTCCATGATGCGCGTTCTTTCAATACTTATGATATATTACCGTGATAATTGAATTCTGAATCTAGATTGTAAAACAGCAAAACTTATTTAAATTTAACCGCACAACTTTTTATTTAATTACTTCTCATACAATCTTTCCAAGAAATTCTTACTTTCGTCCGATTATAATTTCGGAAGTATTGATATTCCTGTTACTTTAAGTAAAAAGAATGTTCTTAGCGGAATATCAATTATTAAATTTGGAATTGATTTTTCGAGACGTGACCTCAATACATGACTTTGAATAAATTAAGGAACAGGTGTGTTTCATTTATAACAAAGCTCCAAATAATGTAAAATTTTCAAAGTATATAATAATATATAGAACATATATATTTATTAATCATATAGATATTAAACAAATATTAAATAATACGCAGAAAAACGAATATGCATGCACAATCTGCAATCTTTAGTTTCGCGATATTTAATTTGTTACTCAGTCATTTCGCAAAACACTCATATCATCAACATTAATTTTTTTTTCGTATGGAACAATTACAGAAATGAACATCTGGCGCATAATCAAACATGCAGTTGTGAATATATCAGATCACTAACGCAGCTGTGTACAATTATACGTGAGTGATTATGATTCGATCGACAAGCGGGATTTATCTCTCACAAAGTGGCACAAATGTGAGCGATCTGATCTGTACAAAACTACGTTTTCTACGTTTCATGCATACGCGAAGTGCGAAATACTGTTGCTGTTATTCACTTGCAACCGCTAAATTGCAAACAAATAATAAGATTGAATAACACTCGATTTATGTTAATTAATAAGAAAACACGAAGGGTTTAATTTACAAATTAACAATGCAGCAAATTTGGAAATTGACGATGCGAATGTTTATTCGAATTACGCAGGTGGAGCTAATGTTGGCACAAGTGATGTTATTCAATCTCCAAAAATATAAGCTGGCAAAATATTATTTAAAAATACTTGTTTTCTTGTTGTGGAAGGCAAAAGTTAATTTCTGCAATCATGAATACACGACAGATTTGCGCAAAGTGTAGCGAAAAGACAAATCATTATACTTGTATTAAAAAATTCAAGTCTCGTGTGTGAAACTTTCTCAAGTCTTCAATCACGCTGCTCTAATGAAAGATGTCCCTTAATCACCGAATATCAATTGCAAAAAATGATTGAGGAATAAAATGAGAATGAAAAATATTTTAACAAGCGATAATCTCTCTTCTCTTTTCCTCCGCGAAAGAATGACTTCGCATTCATTATATAATTCATGAAAAAAAATTCATTTCATGAATAAAAGGACATTCGACGGCGCCTTGAATGTATCCGGAAATATTCGGATGTCAATCATCGCTTGAGATTCTTGTGATTTTGGGGTGCGGTGCTCGATTTTCCGCCAAAAATTTACGTGTCCATTCACGCGAGGACCGCGCGCATGGGGAAGGATGGGGGCAGATCACGGGTGAGAAGTCTGTTTGGTTTTTTTACCTCTCTTGACTTCATATTCAAGAGCATATTTTTTCGTGTCAACCGTCACGCATTGTTAACGACGATTCGCGTTTTTTTATACGTTGCTGCCAATAATGATGGAAAAGAGAAAACGGATCTATCGCGGTATACGATCAAAAAGGCATCGCGGTTTTATCGATGCGCGCTACATTGATTTGTGGAAAGAGAATTTGACAGAAATATAATTTAACATTAGAATAATGCTTCTCTCACTACGATAAATAAATGCTATCAATAAAGGGAGAAGCTTTTGATAAGAAAACTTTACAATTCTAAAGGAATTATTTCCTATTTTGCGCGCTTCATTGTCATAAACACACGAGCAACACCGATGACACAAATATGTAAGCAAATATGACGTGATATCGCATTAAACTTTCTCGATTAAGAACGAACATTTCAATGGGAAGTTTAATACGCTTCGTTCCAATCCGGAAACATAATTTATAATCGGGCGAGAGGGAGCTTTCCCGATTATTCCGACGAGTTTTCGGGACTGGACATCGTTATTATCGGATACGATGCGTATTTTACAGCAAGTTGGAAAAGCAACTGACGGGTCGACCTGTTCGTTCGCCTCGGGTTTTCACTGCTTTTGAATATGGGATGAATATCGGTTCGCTTCGCCGCGAGTCGAGCATTATATCGCCTTCGCATTTACGAAGCTGTCACTGTCGGCTTGACACTCACTCGTTATGAAAGGGGTATTATGTTTTAATAATGGACAACATCGCGCGTCAAATTCATCCGGTAGAGTGAAAACGCGTAACATTTATTTTGTTCGACCAGTTTCGAATCGCATCGGCATGATATACCGATGTGTATACGCATACATTAAGTATGAATGTGCTGTCAAAAGTTGCTGATACTGAAGCGTTCTTTTTTTTTTTACATTGACGATTAGGAATATTTTGATATATCATTTTCGACAATTACGAGGACTAGCATTACTATCTAGATAACATTGCGGTTCGAATAATCATGATAAATTTAAATGTCGGGATTGATTAATGATACATCAAACTAATATATATGTATATTCTTTATTCTACAATACTAATAATACAGATGAACCCCTTAAAATAGAATTAGCTTACTTCCGAAAACGAAAGCTACAATAGTGAATTGAATTTTTACATCAGTTTGCGATAATGCGATAATACTACAAAGAGGAAAAATATGATTAAAATAAATAAAATAATGATGAAAATAATAATAATAACGATTAACTAAAGCTTTTAACACAAAGCTGTAGATACTTTCATGTAAACTTTAAATATTGGAATTAAATATTGGATTTAAATAATTATTTAATTCGAGTTAAGTTAACAATTTAATCAGATTTGTCTTCCTAAACATTACTAAAGCAGTGATACAATTGTGAAGTACAAAACCACCATTCTTTGCCGCGCAATGCAAGTTGATAAATGAATCTATAATCTCGCATGATAAATTCTCATACGCTATCGTTCCGTATAGAAGCTAAATATTCATTATATCTTTTTTCTTGCGCCTGCTGTAGTTTTTGTAATTTCTTAAATAAACCTTTGCTGATCTCTTTACCTTCGGCATCGTGTGTTGGCAAACCCTACATGGAAATGAATGCAAAGTACGTAAAACAGGAAGACAAATATAAATTCAAGCATGATGGCAAATAAAATACTGACCTTATCATCAAATTGAGAATATTTATCTTTTTCCAATCTAAACATATCATTCGGCGGTATTCTTCTCTGTGCTTCCTTTTCCGCTGCTGCATTGGCAGCTTCTGCTTTCCTCCTTTCTTTCTCCAAGGTTTTCTCAAGTTCTAACTTTTTCTTAGCTTCTTTCTCCTTCAGCAATTCTTCCTTGTTAACTAATTTTACCTTAAAGGCCTCTTCATTACTGTCTTCCAACCGTACTCCAACATTTGGCAAGATATCATCGCGCAGTTTATCGCACTCTTGCAGAATATCATTGGCTTTCAATGTTTTCGCATAGTTTCGAACTTTCTCTCGGAAATTTGCCAGAATTTCAAGATATGGCATAATAGTCTTTTCAACCTAATCATAAAAATTTACATATAATTGTATAAATTTAAATATACATATACTAGTTAAATTTTTTTTATGTGAAAGGAAAACATTAATATTTATCTTACATTTGAACCCACTGCCTCGTCATCAATTGGAAATCCAATCGAATCGTCTAAAGACGGAATGGCTCCAAAAATAGTAAATATCTTCGTAACATATACACTAATATCCCTAAGAAGAAGAGTATTTGGATTCTTATTTTGACACATGTACACATTGCAAATCGCCACAAGTTCTCGTATCACATCGAGCACTGTTCTGGTATCAATATTATCTACAATAAAAATTTGTTTTTAATAATGCATCTATAACTTTCAATGTTATAATTATTATAACTATTGAAATATAGAAGGCTTACCGCATAAGGCTTCATGTACAGAATGCTTAGCATGACGAAACTTTTCATTGAGTTCCATTTCAGAATCAGACCACTTAGTAAAACAATTAAAGCTAATTTTCGTTTCCAAGCATCTAAGCTTACATTTTACATTCAAAAAGAATTCCTGGAAAATTAATTTTATTAGAGATATAAATTCCAAAGAGTTAAAATTATGAATTAATTTTAAATTATATTTTTAGGTGCATAGTACGTGAATCATGTACTCACATTAAGAAATTTTTCATACTGAACAGCCATATTCATAGTATTATCACTGTAATCTAATGTATCTTTCCACGAATGCAGAAGAAATGCAAGTCTTAGCTGTCTTGCCGAGTGTTTCTTTAAAGCATCTTGTATCGTTACAAAATTCTTTAACGATTTCGACATTTTGCAGCCAGCTATAGTCAAGTGACCGGAATGCAGGAAATATCTAACCCAATAAGAATTATCGAAATACGCTTCCGCTTGTGCAAGTTCGTTGTCGTGATGAGGGAATTTGAGATCTACGCCGCCTGTGTGAATGTCTAAACTCTCTCCGCAAATTACAGACGCCATGACCGAGCATTCAATATGCCATCCTGGACGTCCTTTGCCCCAAGGACTGTCCCACCAAGGCTCACCTGCCTTTGAATGTTTCCAAAGAGCAAAATCTGTCACTGATCTCTTCTCAGAGAGTTTATCTTCTGTAGTGCTCAAGTCACCTTATTTAAATAAAAAAAAAAAAAGTAATTTAGGAAATATAATTAAAAAATCAAAATACAAAAGATTTAAATTTACCTTCTCCTTCTTGTAGGCTTGATGTATCACCATATGCTTCTGGCACTAGCTTGGCATAATAATGTTTTTCTTGTTTATCAAACTTGCTCACATCGAAATATACCGATCCATTACTTTCGTAAGCAAGTCCATTATCTATTATTCGTTGTATGTATGCTATTATTTCAGGAACATATTCACTAACTCTTGTCAATACATTTGGTTTTAATACCTGTATATGGAAAATAATTATTAGTATTAACAGTTGCAAACTTTGTCTTAAGAACATTATTTATATTAATGTATTAAATCTTACATTTAAAGCATCCATATCTTTATGAAATTCTGATTCCCAGTGTTGAGACAATTTATTAAATATTGAGTGTTCTGTAACGGTGCTACCTTCTCTTTTATCTAGCCAGTCTGATAAAGGATCTTTAGCCTCTTTCAACAATGCCTAAACATAAATAAAAATTGTGTTAATATTGTATAGAGAATAATCTTACAAAATAAATATATTCCACATTAGATTAAATAATATTTACTTCTTGAAATTCTGCAATCTTGTTCTTATCCTTATCTATAATTGCTTTTGCCAAATTTTCAATAGCTTCTGTCATTTTGTATAATATCTTCTCTAGCATGCACTTTATATCTGGATCAGTTGTAGTTTTTACAGTATTCTCAAAAGTTAACATTACTTCTTTCACATCATCTACTATGTTATCAAGACTATGGTTTTCTCCCACATATTTTTCGCACAGGTAATTCTGTCTTGCTCTTTTTATAATTTTATCATCTACATCAGTAATGTTCATCACGTATAAAACATCATATCCAAAATAATCTGATAGTACACGACGTAGTATATCAAAAGATATATAAGATCTGCAATAAAAGAAATATTTAGACAGATATTTTATTTGTGTATACAGAAAAATGTATAACACATTTATATATTATTGTATGCACATAATATAAAAAGATATAAGATAAAAAAATATTATAAGAAACCTATTTAACAAAGTACAATTCTGTTCAATCATATTTATATATTTTTTTAATACCTCGCATGGCCCATATGTGATGCATCATAGACAGTAGGTCCACAACTGTACCACAGAACACGATTCCCAAATTGTGGGATAAATATTTCCTTTTCTCTAGTTAAACTATTGTACAATCGAAGCGATGTGCGATGCTTTCCTTCTGGCAGATGCCAAACTGGCTGGGTTCTCTTGGCCATTTCTTCTGAAATATTGAAAGTTCTTTTGATCTTTAATCAAAAAGTAGAAGTTTTCCTTATGGAAATTCTAGATAAAATAATATATACATTTTCCTCAGAAATTTAAAAATTAATTAATTTAAATTAGTGTTCCTCAAGCGTTTGAGCAACCAACATATTTAGAAAATGAGATGTTAATGTAATAAGTATTAATTTACCTTAGAGCAAAATTTCCTTATAAACACCGCAAAGAAAATTTGTGATACCAAACCACGTGTCAAACGGATTACAACATGTCCAGGTGTTCGAATGATGTTACGAAGTGCAAGGTATGCATCAGAGATGGGAGATGATTCGACCATGTTTATAAAAATGTTGAGATGGGTATGCGCTGTTGTAAAATTTTGGACAAAATTTGGACACTGAAAATCCCCTAGCAAATGGCGAATCAGAAGTGGTGCACGATGTCTAGTTCTAATTAAAACTTAACAGCTGGCAGTGACGAAATAATCGATATATATGAACACAGTATACTTCTCACGATCACATTTCGTTTTACCGGCTGCACCGGCTGGTAACGTGACAGTGCGACTGTCAACATGCCAAACGGCCTGAAATAATTACAACGATGATAACGTTCGATAACTGATACGAAATCCGTATAGTGATCTGATGGCGTACGATAAGAAGCATGCAATTATCATCATTGTCGCCGACAGTGAAATCCCGTTTCACACAATTCCGCTCGATATTCGAAGCGAACGTCGAGCGTAAGAAGGCTAGCGTCGGCGAGAGGGATGTTGTTATAAATTCTGCAGACAAAAGTTTGCTCATTACTTGTTCCCCATGTCTGCAATACATCTAGCTTGTATGCGCTGCTTAGAATTGATCTATGATCACCGCAGCTTATTACCGGGGCACGCTCGAGAGCGTTCTGAGAACTCGATTACCTCGAGCCTTTATCACCTGCGATAACGAGCTTTTTAAACCGGACGTGTGATATGACCTAATTATCATAGACCACAACAAGAACGAGGGAGCTGCGAATTACAACAAAAATATATACGTATGTATATTTTTCTTCCTTTTTTTTTTTTGTTTTGAATCTTGATTTCTAACATATGTTTATTTGTTGTAGATGTATGATTGTAGATTCTTGCAATCTTGTATGAAAGATTGTATAAAGTTGTAGAGTTATAAATTAAATGAAACAAGGAAAGAATGATATTACTGCCTGTCTATCCATAAACTTTTAATCAGCAACAGGTAGACAATTATATTCAATTTCTAATTATAAGTTTTTTTAAATTTGTAATAACTTTTAATTTTGTAATAATTTTTGTTATTTCTGCTTCTAGATATCGCTTTGTTACAATGGATATTGGAGTTGTCAAAATTGCGGAAGATAAAGATTTTGAGAAATTAAAGCAACTGTATGATGATAATAATAACTGGAAACTTGATTACAACAAACCTGATCTATCTGTCTGGACAAAATCCGTCCCTGGAATTAGTTTTAGGATGGTGAAAGTAAGTCTTTTATTGATAAATAAGTTTTATCGCTCGATCAAGATAATGACGGTTCAATATTATACGTAGATCAGAACACGTTTTGCTGATGTTACACCGGAGACATTATATGACGTTTTACATGATCCTGAATACAGAAAAGTCTGGGACACTCATATGATTGAATCAAAAGATATAGGATGTTTTAATCCGAACAATGATATTGGTTATTACTCCAGTGAGTATTACGTATCTATAAGCTTGTGAAGAATTTTATTTACATAAAAAATATCAGAGATTATATTCTATATTGTTCTATAAAAATTTTAGTGACTTGTCCATCTCCGTTAAAAAACAGAGACTTCATTCTGCAACGATCTTGGTTGGATACTGGTGCGGAGCAGTTGATAATCAATCATTCTGTTTATCACAAAGATTATCCACCTAGAAAACACTTTGTACGAGCAACATCTTACCTCACAGGTAAAAGTAAGTTAACTCTTTGCATATATTGTATCTTTAAAATTAATTTTACATTTTTAGGCTATATTGTAAGACCTTCGCGCAATGGAGACGGTTCCGAGCTGGGCTACGTATCGCATACAGATCCGCATGGCAAATTGCCTGTATGGCTGGTCAACAAAGTCACGCAAATATTTGCTCCCAAGGTGAGATATCTTATAAAAGATATAACTAAATCAAGTAATAACAAGTATTCTCTTATAAATCTTTATAGATGGTGAAAAAATTGCACAAAGCCTCCGTGGGTTACCCAACCTGGAAGTTACTTAATAATCCAAATTACAAGCCGTGGCATTACCCCGAACAAATAATGGCGCCTAGGATACGTATCGAAGAAGTAAGAGAGAATAGCTTTCTTTAACTTTATTGTATTCTACAAAAGTTACAATCAGCATTCTGTATATATGTAGAAGTGATGAAATTTTTCACAAGTTAGATATTAAACTAACAATAAACTCTTAATTTGTTTCAGTGCGTGAAATCTGTAGAGGAGAAGAATTCGAAGATCAATTATGTGGATGAGTCTGACATAAGAGAAAGTTTAGTTAAGGAGCCTGTTGCGATGGACAGCGATTAATTTATTATAAAGAAATATAAGGATTTAGGTAAGTAAAATAGTGAAACAAAATAGTTGAAAAGGCTAGTTACAGCTACAGTATTACAAATATAATGGGACAATTTGTACAATTATGAAGTTCGATTTGCGCATTTCTTATATAATATATTCTAATTCTAATGTTACATTTAATACATATTACAACGTTACAAAAGTCACGTTCATTATTACACGTGAAGTCGCCTTGTGTGCGAACATGGCTATATGTATACCAAAAAAAAAATGATATCGGTGGCCTGCTTTGTATTAGGTACTAATTTCATGCCAGGTTTATTGTTGGTGTTGTTAAAACGCGCAAATGTAAGACATTGCCGCACAATATGGAAGGTATACGTAAACCTCTTTTTATAATTTATTATTATAAGTATCACAGAGCGTGCCTGGGCGCGCACGCGCGTGTCTCAAAACACTCGTCTAGTCTATCTTCTGTATTGTGCATTGCACATAATTGTTATTTATTATATTAAATCTTCTTAATATATGCATATGAAATAATTACAATTTTTTGTAGCGTTGAAGAATAACGAGTTAGTAGAAGTTTTTCAAGGCTTTAATGAAAATCGGATTCAGCATTTCTTTTCAAACTATGTGAAATGTTGTGAAAAGAACGTGTTTGTTATGTAAAAAAAAAAAAGACACATTTTTTCTATACACAGTTACCTAAATGTTACAATTTCAACTAAAGTAAAATAAATAAGCAGTTTAATATCGATAAGAAGTTCAAATATACGTGATTAATCTTTGTCATTTTAAACGGACTTTATTCGCAACTTTCATAATTTCTTTTGATAAATATATCGATCAATCGTACACAAATGAATATAAGTACATAAGCAACAAATACTATTACAGATCTCTTATGATTTCTTGGACTTAGAATTGATTAATTCGGTTGTGTACTTTCTTCATATGTACAAAGTGTTTTCTGCAAGACTTTGCGTCAAACTTCAACAGCGTATTTTTCAAAGAATTTTTGTGCTGAAATTTACATACCGAGAGAAAATCAAAAAATTTCGATAAATGCAACTTTATTAATTTCAAAAATGCAAACATATAGATGGCTGTAAGCAACAGCAGAAATTCTTTAGAGCTACGCTCGTGAGGTTTGTACGATCTTACGAATTATACTGTAGAGTACATGAAATTCAGAATATAAATAGACATGTACTATTTAACTACAAATTAGTAACAGAATCGCGTAGAAGATTGTGATTATAAAACACATTTATTTTGATTTCTTTTTATTCTACAGAAAATGTAACGCAATAAAAATTTATAAAATTACTTTGTAAAGAGTTTACAATAAAAGGTTTTGAAATTAGCTTTAAGTAATTATAATAGGAAAACTCACAGGTATCGATGAGGTAAACAAGAACGTCAACTGGTTACATAGAATTTTGATAAACATTTATAACAATGTTTATTATCTGTTTTTTTTTCTGCTAAATTATTTAGTTCATTAATTTTACGAATATAATTCATTAAATATCAAATTGAAATATAGAGATTTTTTTACATAAGAAATACATAAACACATGCAACTTTACAATATATAATATTAACAGACTGTTAAATAAGTAAACACGAAAGTCAAACATTTCGCAATAATGAAATATGTATAACAAGTCAAGCATTTCTTACTGAAATAAAAATATCAAAAAACGATTTAGCAGTGAAATCAGTGAAACAGATGGAAGAGTCAGAAATTATGAACTTGTGATTATTTAACAATTTGTTAATATTATATTTTGTAAAATTGCGTGCGTTTAAATATTATTGACACCGAAAAAGGCTCGAACGTTTGTTTATTTCATTAAAATATGTTTTTTGCACAAATAAGTGGCGTTGACTTTTTTACTCCTCTATATATCAATTTGATATTTAATCATCGGAACCTTTATAATTTTTATAATGCGCTAACTGTATTGAATATTTTCTTTTATATATATTTTGTATTCATTAATTTTTTTTGTTATTGATTGATTGACTTGATTGATTACTTTTAATATTTGCAAAATAATTTTCGCACGTTTAAACAGTGAACAATGCGCATGTATGCGCTGTGATGCTGCTGCGCCGGATCACTGCACGTGTCATTAGTTCATTATCATCTGGATTATCATTTGTTTATCATTTATTATGTATACATTGAAGGCTTATGATAATTTTGATCTAAATTCTTAGGCAAATACAAATGTATTTATTGAAGTACCGTCAACGTGAAAAGGATATTGGGCTTTACGAAGATTGTGCTTTAACGAAGACTTACATTTCACGTTTTTTTCAGTATCGAGGATCTTTTACTTACGCGATAAGATATGCAGCTGCGAGATTTGACGAATCACCTCGATCAAATATATGTTAAAACGATCTATTAATAATATGTTTCGCTACAGCGTGAAATTTGCTATGCTGACAAATTCTTTTTTTCGATGTAAAAATCGACGATTAACGCCAGAAATATGGACAATGTTTAAAGAGACGGATCAAATTGAAAACACATGATGTTCATTTATTCGCAAATATTTAAAGAATTGTACTCTAAGTAGACGATACAACACAAACGGCGACGTCGCTGAGCAGTACTGATCGTCTTTCATTTAAAAATCTGTGGTCTTGTCAAATGCAGTACAGTGATTTTTTTTCTATACCTTTTTTATACTTTGTTATATTTGTTTTTTTTTTTATTTATGTTCTATCGATTTCACGCCGAGTTAATTGTAGTAATATATCACGCGTACAATAGTGTGATCGGACGAATAAATTTTCGATTCGAAAGATCAATATGTTAGACGATTCAAAATCGTCGTCCAGTGACGAGAAATTTACAGAAAACTCGGTAAACGAGGATTCTCATTCAAGAAATGATATTCAAACGGCAATATCGCAAGATGTACAACATGCAAACATCCTTGAAGGCAAAAGCATATTAATATCGATTAAAAAGCATGAGAAAGATCATCTTCTTACGAAAGAAACGCAAGAAATTGAAAAGTGTAACAATGACAATAAGGATATCGGTGAGGAAACACAAAATAACTCAGAGGTATATAATTTTTGGCCTTTTCTTTTTATTTTTATCACTTTCATACGTGATGATTATTCCAAATCTATTGTTAATTTTGGAAAAGTGGGCAAAGTGTGAACAAACTTATGTAGTCAAATTATTGTCACTGTTTGTTCTTCTCTAATCTAAATAGTTTTATATTAATCTCGCAAACTTGATTGGAATCATAGGAAGAAAATGCGTGCATGTGTGTTGAAGAAACTTGTCAAACTCTCAAAGAAGTAGTCGGATCAGCGGGAAAATCAGCAAAAAAACCAAAGAGGCCGAAAGAGAAGAGACGCAAATTTTCTTTTCTTGATTCGATAATTTCTATGTGTTTAGTTGGTCCTTTAGCGATCAGCGTTTGGAGAGGAATATGGACGTGGCTAGACCTTCACGCGGAATTGTAAGTAACAGAAGAATCAAAAAGTCAGAATAATTGTAAATATTCGATCAAAGTATGCACGGAAAACAAATGTGAATATTTCTAATTTTTTAAGATGACAAATGCCCAAGAATATCACAAATTATTTGTTAATCAATCAACACAAATTCTTGTTAATACGAAAATACGTGTATTTAGACAGACTTTGTTAACAGGTTTCCCGGCTGGATTTGCTTTATATTCGGCACTGTTCTGCACATAACATTTACTATTTATAAGTACCGGCTTTGCTATATCGTCACGAAGAAATGGGCTGCATTAAATTGGCAAAAGCGAGTGCTCTATCGTGCTTTATGTGTCCTGTACATTTATATGTTCGGAGTGTCTTGCATTACGCAGTGGCGGGGTGGCTGGATCATCATCGACGACTATTTCTCCGTGCATGTATGGTAAGTCGATCTCTTTTGACATTTCAATACATACTTTTGAGGCCTCTTTTCATTCATTTCTAATCGATTCGCGTTGCGCGTTACTACTTATCGCGTTCGCGTTGACGATTTTTATTACCGATCGATTGTTATCGAGACGATTGCGTTTGGCATTACTTTGACAGCTTGTATCTCTGTTATACAAAATGCAGAAGTGTTTTAAAAAAAGTTTAAATTATTATATAACGGGAAAAAATTGGTGCGCGCTTGTGTGGCCTAAAGTAGTTTAAAATTATTGACCGAAAATTGTATCTTTGAACTTCAAATGTAATAATTTCGCGTTGATGCGAATTAATATCCAATTAAGTGTTATCAATCTAATATTAAATCTTGTAAACTTATAATCTGTAAAATTTTCCAGGATTACACCGTGCGCGACGTGCTTGCTACTGATCTGCTTGGCGATCCTGCGTGGCATTCGAAACTTGCTAGCAACACCAATGATACTCTTCATCGATATACCGAGTTACGTTTTTATATTTCCCACCAGATACAACGTGGTGAGTAGAAAAATACAATAAGCCGGCTTTTGCGATAAAGAATATTTTTCTATCCGCACGAAATAACAAAGTTTGCGTAATCGCGGAAAGAATTGGACCGATAAGCGTGTTGCAATGTTGACTGCTCAATTTATCAGGGTAGCGCGATTTTAGAAGCGGAATCATTTTGCACGATCTAAGATCGTCAATCTTTCTGTTTCGACTGCCCTTAATTTTTCCTGTAATTTTACTGTCACAATCTTCCGCGCCGCCTTGACAGTCGCGCGCGCTGTGACAGCCGCGCTTCTTCGATTACCGCCTGAAGAACCCGGCCGACCCTGTGCTCAATTGCCAAACGACGTTTAGCGATTATGTAGCACACCGTACCCTTGCACACGCGTCTAATTTAGAGTAATATGTAATTTGTTGAATAAAATTGTGCAGAAAAAAACACACAATTGTGTCTACGCGCGCGCGTGTAGATTTTCTCAATTGCGGAAATTTAATTGATCCAAAACGTAATCGAACATTACGTGATTGTAATTGCACATCTGTGCAAACTCGGTGATATAAATTGTCTCTGTAAATTGCACACGTTTCGCGTGATATAAGGATAAGGAAGTCATTCGAGATTACGCGTTTATTGTGCAGAGTATTAGAGAATTTTTCCCAATGTTATCATTGTACTGTTTATTATGAAACTAACGGGGTTTAGTCGGAAACTTTTACCGGAGACTACTATCAGTACTCTTATCTCGGATATCGTGAAAAAATTAAAGCATATTTGCTAATTGCGCAGTAATTCTCGAAACACTTCCTACTCGCGTTTTCTAATCTCATTTTATTCTTTCACAATAAATAATAGCGTCATTTTGAATTCTGAACTACACGATTTATCTAGTATTGCACAGTGTGACAATTAAATTCCCGGGCTAAAGCCATAAAAACACACCAAAAAGATCGAAAATATTTATTAATATCATCATTCAATATATAGTTATTAACATATCATTCAATATAAAATTTACCGCTCGCAATCTGTTTTTCCGGCACAAATTCGTGACGAATGATATCTTCAGCATCGAAAAACGCAATCAACATTGCTTTCACTCATGAGTTTTGCATTCTCACTTTCTGAGCTTTCGATTTTTCTTTTCGGTTTTCATTCTAACGTTTTTGTTTCTGGGCCGTACATAAAACACCAACTTTCGGCACCTGTACAATCCTTTTTGAAACATTTCTATCGTCATCAACTTTTTCAACAAATTCAATGCAGCGCATTGATATTTTTGATTCGGCGTTAACAAATGAGGAATGAAACGAGCATATGATGAAAGAACGTACACTTAAAATACACTTTTTTCTTTATCAAATCTTCGACTAAAATCTCTTGATTCCTATCGTCTCTTCGTAACATGCTCAATACTCACATCTTTAATCTTCGGCCAAACACTTTTGAATGATTTTTGCTTGCTCTGGAAATTGAAGGCCGGCCTTTCTGTTCATCACCTGACAATTTTCGCTCTTTTTTTATGCTATTCAAATACTCTTGTTTTCTTTGAAAATAGCACATCATATAAACGTTCTCTCTAATTAGTCCCGTTGATTTCCGATAGCGTTAGTAATATTATTGTAATTGTGTAAGTCGGATTGTGTAATTGATAAGGGAATTTAATTGTTACACTGTATGTATACAAAAGTACAAAATTTGTTTATTAAAAATGTGAAAATAATAAGAACAAAATTAAATAAAATCATACATGATTTAAAAAAAAATATACGTATAAAATGAGTCTTTGCAACTTCGCAAATAGAAAAATTGCAATGATAGTTCCCGATCAATTAGTTCTTCCCGGAAGTTTATGAAACTTGCTTATTTGCATTGCTGTCCATTGATAATAAAAATACGGCGGCGTTCTGATTGTGTACGGATGGACATGCGGATGAATATCTCTTATCTATTAAAAAAATGTTATCCGATCGGATTTATCGGACTGCCGGTTATAACGATTGTGTTTGACATCAAATAATGCTTTTATCTGCGAAACAGTGGCGATTATTTCTTCTGAATCAAAAATTCCCGATGACGAATATAATTATCGCTAGATATAACGATAAAAATCTGGTTTCAAATGTTACTACATTGAAAAAAAGAATTTGCGGGCACAGCAAATTTTATAGCAAAACATGTTAATTATTATATGGATAATAAAGAGATTTGTTACGGATGCTAATTTTATTTGCTGCAAATAATTTTGCTAAATCTGCAAATTATATCGCTATTATAGCAAACTGATTTTTACTTTGCCATTAAAATTTGCACTGGCAGCGACAATTTTGTTGCGATAGCAAAATTCTTTTTTTCCGTGTAGAATTACAATATTTCGAGGATAAAAGCTTTATATCCTTAAGAGAAGCCACGAATACAAGTGTGAAAGATATATCCAATATTTAATTTTACAACTTTCGTCTACTATTCGCTATAACAGCAAAGTTCGTGCCCTTGACGAGGTTGGCCGAGAGAAATTAGTGGACGAAGGTGAGAAGATGTTGCAACCCAAGCTTGATTGACATACAAAAAGGAGTCGATTAGCGACGACTTTGGCTAAAGTGTCAATGGTTATATGAGTATACATCAATGGCTAAATGAGTAGAAGGCAGGAAACACCACTCAAAAAAAAAATTATATCAAGGTGACTAAAAATTATGCCATTGTAATCGAATTGTTCTTCCTTTTCTAGCGAGATAAGTCGCAAAGCTATTTAAAATCTAATGATTTTTTTATTGCTCTAGAATGCTACTTCAATGATATTTAATTACATAATAATTCAATATCATGAGGTAATGTAGTGATAATGATAATAATATAGATTGATTTTTAATGATTTCATTAAGAACAAGATTTTGTTATAGTTGAGAAAGAAAATTTTTCATCGCTTTTGTAAACGAATTTCTGAATTTTTCATTTAAAAAGTGTCTTTTGCATCTGACATTTGATTTTTGCATTCTATATCCGGATATTGGCACATGTGCATATCTTTCGCAAATATTTAATTTTGATTTTATTGCTGTTAATGTTGATCTTTATCATGTATACAAAAAAAATAATTTTAATAAAAAGAAATTAACTCTTAAATGTCCTGGAATATTTATTATATATATATATATATATATGTGTATATTTACATAATGTCAGAGAAATATTTATATATTCCTAGTTTTCTAGACTTCAGTCACGCGATAGTCTCATTAATCGATTCAACTGCAGTACAATGCAAACTTGAAAACACGACAGTGGACAAATTACATGTAAGCTTCTTGCACGTTGGAGTCTTCTAAACTATTGGAAATACTCGCGTCAAGACTATTTCGGAAAGTCTCCGTGGAAGGAATTTCGTGACTACACGTTTTTTCATCCGCGAGATTTCGCGCAGCCGTCGCGCGATGGTTCTTTTACCGGATTTCGAGCGGCCGTTTTCGATTCCGCCGTCACGGGCGGAAGTGACGGCGCGGAAGTCCTCGGATCCTCGAAGACCGCGCTGCCCGATCGTCTTCCGAATCGCATTATCGCGGGAATGCGCGTGGCTCTCATCGCCACCGATCATTTTAATCCGTGATAGCACGGCAATACACGATGAAACGAGGCGATTATAACGCATACGTGTATACGTGGGTGGGGGTCGTCGGCGTACGAGAGATCGAGGGAGGAAAGGAGAGCACACCGCCGGTACTATCCTCCGTGCCGGTGGTCCGCCGCGAGCGACGATTCTGCTCGCGATAATGCGATAGTGTTGGTCCGCTGCGTTTAGCGGTTGATAAAAGATAGCGGTTATACCGAAGACAAGTCAGTACTCACCCCACTGTCCGACCGGCCGATCGCTCGCGACCGAGCTCGCCGGTCCTGAACGCGCAGACGAGGGTTGTACCGCGAAAAGTTCCTTCACGTCGTACCGACGGCTTTTGCGTTCCTCGAGCAATCGTGACGGAAAATAGTGCGATAGCATTGGAATTGTGCCGAGACAGTGCGACGTCGTTTTTGAATAATATCTGAAAAGCGCGAGGTGCTTCGCGCGAAGCCGAGCGCTCGAAGAAGCCTGAAAGAAACGAGCATCGTTAAGGAAGCTCTCGGGATTCCTCTTTTTCAGAATGTCAAAGAAGTTGACTCGGACAAGCGAATAAGCGAAACGGGCATCCTCACCTTACAAGCATGTCCCCCGCAGATATATTCCTTCGTCCCGCCACAATGATGACGATGAATCCGGACGAATAAATCGGAACCTGATCGAATTGAATCCGACGTCGTCGAAGAATGCCAGGAGTAAAACGTCGAACGTCATCGCGCCCAAACAAACTGCCGCTCGTCCTCTCAAGCTGACGTTCACGCGTGCAAATCCTTTTTCGATAGCTGGTGATTTCGATTAGCGCGAGCCATGCATAATGACCAGCGGCGCGACTGCTAAACTCAATCCGGATTGTGTAAGAATGGTGGAGCTGCGTGCGGCCGGCGCCGGGATGACAGGCAGCCTGGACACCAAGTCGTCGAATCGTGTGCACTACGCCGTCCTCACGATCCTGGACACGATATTCTCGTCGCTCGTGGCCGCGCCGGCGGTGATCGGTTACTGGCGCGGCACTTGGGAGCTCAGCGACTTCTACGTGTACCCGGACAACCCGGCGCTCAGCAGCTTCGCGTCCATCACCATCGGCTTCACCGGCCTCTTCGCCTTCAACGTGCTGCAGCACGGCCTGAACGACATCCTCCATCCGGACAAGCACCGGCTGTCCTACTACCTCTGCTCGCGGCTCTACACCGGCGTGTTCGGCCTGTGCTGCGTGAACGCCTGGCGCGGCGCCTGGAAGGCCCTGGACATCTACACGGAACCGACCCCCGGCACCGTCGTTGCCACGACCGTCGTCAGTCTCCTCGCGCTCGGCATCATGCGCGCGATTCGCAATGTCTCCGCGCCGCCGTTCTCGCTCGTTCTAGACTCGTGTCCGGGTTACTTCGAAGTGCAGACTATGTTTCGCGTGAACGTAAGTACCTGCCGATGAGGCCGCGCTATCAGTCCAATCTTCTTTTCTCACTTAAAAGCATTTATCTGTCATTACTGTTCTATATCTATAGATTGCAATATCACAGTCTTATAACATACACTTTGTTTCCGTGAGAAAATCACCTTGATTTTCGCCCTCCTCGTTCGGCTCATTGGAAATTGGAGCGATAAACAAACAATAACTGTGATAAGCCGGATTCATGTTCGCACTAATAAGCTTGCTGATAACGAGCGAAAGAAATTCGTCTTCTTTATTAAATGCCGCCTTGGGCGACTTCCGTTTTTTACCCCCACTATTAGGTGCGCAAAACCGATTGTTCTTTCATAAACAACAACTATAAATGAATATTACATGAGAAAAGAATGAATCGGGAAGAAATAGAAATATACATACACGGACAGAATTATAGATACAATATTTAAATAATCCAAGTTGAAGATGATATAATATATGAATGAAATAAAATATTGTAAAAACTATTTCGAATTTTTATTTACCAAAGAAAAGAAGTACGTTATCAAGCGCACTCCCGTTTTTTACTTGTCCTCTCGTTGGCGAGCTTTAAAGGCATATCGGGCATTTACAAGGCAGAATTACGAATTAATTGTTATTTTGCGAAGACTAACGTTCACGCCTATATGATAATATAAAAAATAAAATAAAAAACAAGATATTACAAGGAAAATAAGATTACGAAACTTATGCTAATTCTACAAGCTTCAAATGCAACAGAGAATCAAGTAAGACTGAACTCCTCGTTAAGAAAATCGCTCAAAATAGCGATTATAATATACTTTTAATTGTCATAGGTGTGATAATAGAAAAAAGAAACAAGCAATACAATTAAAATAAAACAATATAGGTTTACTTCGAGGCTTTTCTGTTGGGAAATATTTGTCAATTCTCGCGAAAGGAATGGAAAAGGAGGTCGTGATACAGCGAGGTATCCGGAAGATTTGTTTTAGAAGTCGAATATCTCGCGCAACATTTACAAACATAGCCTTCTTTCACGCATTATTATCGGGTCTACTATCGATTCTGCGATAAAGCGCGTCGTAAATCATAAATCGCGGATTGCATGTGTCTCGTTTAGACGCGCCGTCCAAGCTCGCATTATCGGTGTGTATAAGCACAGTTTCCGGCTAAGTCCCCCGATCGTCAACTACTATTGCGCTTGTATAGTCTACGTGCGCATTAGCCATATCTTGTCGTTTGTGGTAACACTTTCTCTCCATTGTACGAAAACAGTCCTGTCCGAACGAGCAAATTTTCCCCTAGCAATTATGCTTAATTTATCAACTGCAATTACGAATGCGTCGGCAATAAAAATTGTATCGTTCGATTCTGTTTTCTTTTACATCTTCTTTCATTCACAATGTTTGTTATATATTATTATTTTATTAAAGTGCAAGTAGGCAATTATTTTCCGCGCCAGTAATGTGTTTTCGCTATCGAAGCACAAATATGAATTTCGACTAGATTTTGGGAAGTGACGTGCAAATTTAAGATTGTTTTTTTATCTCGACAGACATCGCGATGTTAATCTATATTCATGTCTATTATTTTTAAGTGGTGAGATAAGATTTTTATTCAATCAACTCAAAAACTGTAGTCACCGATTATACATTTTGTATTCTTTTCTTTCCACAAATCTGTGCAAAAATCGCGCTATGTGGCGTGGAACGAAATAATATCAGACAGATTTCTGTATTGTGCAATATGGTTCCGCGTGAATATATTGCAGAATATTAATATTATTTTTTTATTATATATAAAGCTTACGCACTAATACTGTAATTATGTTTGCAGAATACGAGAGACTGGTCCCTGTACTTACTGGATTGTGCCTTTAGTGTCGGTGTCGTGGGCACGCTGGTTGTTTTCGTGTGGAGAGGATTTTGGATCCTCATAGATATGTACCTATTTCCAGAAAATCCCGAATATTCCACCGTTGGCTCACTGGTAAGTACAAGCTCCTCGGGTCGATGCCAAATAACATCGAACTCCTTATTCAGATAATCGCTGAAAAGGAAAGAAAAAATTGTAACCGAAAACATCGCAACGAATATCAAATCATACATATTTATTCTGACAGAAATATTCCTGCATGTAACAAGCTTATTTCGTAAAATGAGAAACCTGTTTTGAGGTGGATGTATTTATATGTAAAAGATCGGACAATTAACGCGTTTCGATTGATAAGCAAAATATTTTAGACGTATTTTCTGATATCGGCGCGTTGAATAATCTTGACGAATGCTTAACGTCGCCGTATCACTGAGTATCAAATCCCGTAGCACGTTTAAATCACGCGATAAAAAGTTATATAAAACGGAAAAGAAATATCTTATATATTGCATAAAAGTGTAGCCAATCATTTTTCAACAGTTACAGTTCCGTCAAGTGCACAGAGCACAATTGACGCGCGTCTGCCGATTGTCATGTGAAAATAATTCAAATATTTTCAAATTTTTTAAATGTCGCATACTTGTTCGTAAACGATACGCGCGCTTGTTCGAAAAATGTAAGAATGCAACACAAAACTGCAAATTTTGCAGGCATACGACGTACATGCGTTGTGCCATGGCACTACGCGCCGGTAGTTCGATTATATAATTGAATATTCGCCAATTGCATGATTGCCTAGGCACATGGCACAATTGTCGGTGTATGCGTATGAAATTTACGTTATCCCTGATTCGTCATTTGTCACATTGACTCTGGCACAACTGACACGATTTATAGAATCTTCAAATTGTACGAACTCTCTTATGCTCTTAAATTATTTACGAAAAAGAAAGTTTTTTTTTCCAGTTAAATCCTTAAATGCATTGCCTATTTTATCAAAAATTGTTTTTAATCATTCTAATTTCTTTTTAGAGCAATTTAACGAATTAATTCTGCATTTTTATATTTTCTACTGCACAAACTCAAGCGTTTGTAATAATACCGTACCGAATTTCAGGCCATCGGGTATGTCATAGTCGCCGTGACGTTTTGCTTGCAACCGCTGATGCGATATGCCTGCACGCATCTTCAGGGTCTGATGCGTTTGATAGTCGCGGACGCTTTCCTCCTTCTGAGCTTCCTGGGGACCATAAACGTTTGGCGTGGCATATGGAACGCGCTGGATCTGTGGTTACTGCCGGACAATCGGGAATTATCCTGCTGGATCACCAACGTCGGCTGCTTCATCTTTCTTGTCCTCCTGAATTGTAGCAACACCATTCTCGTCCGCGGCGTTTACATCGACGCCGAGGAAGAGGAAGGGAAGTGCGTCGTGTTTCCGTGTCACTATCTTCGATTATTCTTTAAGGTTTGTCTACGATATCATCCAAGAGAATAATATTCGTCATATTTACACTCCGACGAATCAATGCGTCGAAAGTAGCGTAATTGAAATTACAAGTTCAATTTTTTTCTCGAATCAAGAAGTGCTACATCTCAGCGTGAGAAGCGCCAAAAGATCAGTATTTAATTGTTTCTTTATTTCCAGATCGAACGCGAGAAGAAGCAAGCGAGGCAGCAAAAGTTATTGGTGGCTGCGCAAGATTTGGACGGTCGCAGCGATGTGAACGAAAAGGACGGCGAGAACGGAACTCTTCTGCCGAATAACACCGCAGTGAAGATCATACCGGCGAATGCAGATTCTCTCGCATAAACGACACGGGGAGTCGATTTCTTTATCGTAGACGTGATTCGCCGTTTGTGCGCGGGTTCAATTCACGGTCGTGAAAAAGGCTGCTCGAATAAGTGGTTCCTTCGTAGATCGAACTCTCTCATCCATTCTATCGATTTTATTTGATTTAATCTTTAAGACGTTCTTGTAAGAAAGTGCGACAATTCTTGTAATAGTGCAATTCGTGTAATGAAAACCGAAATCAGGGCATAGTGATATAAGGAAGATAATTTCGCCGGTGACACGCGGCAAAGAAGAACGGTCAGAAAGCGTATGGCTGTGAATGAACGTACAAAGTGGACATATGTTTATAGTAAGACTCCGCGCGATTAGGAGCATTATCGCGGACAAGTGTTACGGTGCAAAACAGTAGAGTGTATACGGTATATACAAGTAATTTGTGCCATTGAAGCGACGACAATTCGGAGCTCGATTAATAGGGATTTAGCGCTGCCGTTGTATTTTTTCGGGCGCCGTTTGTATAGCTAATTTTCAAAGGACTAATGCGCGACACGTGAAAGATTATTTATATATTTATTTAAAAATGCATTACACGCGCATGCATGGACAAAATTTGATTCATAGAGATACTTACCGAATAAATCGGATGTTAACATTTAGACGTCTACATGTGTCGACCATTCTTTATTCATTCGCTCACTTTTTCCAGTGTAACACAGTCATCTTTATAGTCGCACACGCTCCGCAGGCGTGGAATGTTAATCGTGATTTGAAAATTGGTTGTAATTTAACATTGAGAGATGGCGAACGCGAAAGACAATTTGTCAGCGGTTTCAGGTTCGCGTGATGCAGCGCGATAAATACAAGTGAAACGTGTCAAGGAGCTATCCTGTTCGAAACTCGCCACTCGCGTTTTTTTCGCGCCTCATCCCGTCGAAAATGATGGCCGCGCGATAATCTCTCCTCGTCGCTAATCTCGCACCGATCATTCATCGCGCGTACAGATTTATCATTGAGTTTAGCATTGAACGAGACCTTGCTGCGACGACGCTAATAGATTGACCAGGATCATTAAAAGTAGAACGTAACCTTCTCCCGCGTATCCTGTACACCCCGTAGCATCTGCTCTTGTGCTTGGCAATTACTACGTCACAGCGTACTAATAACTAATTAGCCGAGGTAATGACGGGACAATAGGCGGCAGGCACGATGGATGGGAAGTGCTTAGTTCGACGATAAATGCTTGCCCCCCTGGCCTACATTTAATGTTTCCACAATGAACAACTCGTGCGTGCGTCGGCGAGGGAGAAAGAATTGTTTTCTATATGTACCGTTGCTTTTGGCCGCTCGTTCTCCTTCTGCATTATACGTTTTCACGAATATCTCTCTATAGTGCTTATCATCTTGGCCGATATTTGTTAAAAATTATTCTCGCGACGTAAATCTCCCAAAATCAACACGGACAAGTCTTTCCGCCTTGCGTTGAAAATAATTCAACTTGAATTTCTGGAAAGGATTTATGCACCGATCGATCGTCTCTCGATCAGTCAGAATCGAACCAATGTCAACGTGGTGGGGGATGATCTATTTGGGGCTGCGCGGCGACGCGGACGTCGTCGCAAGAATCAGTCAGCGAGGTGAATCGTGACGAAAGGTGAAGCATCGCTATAGAGCGGAAACGGGCCGAATTATTTCAACACGAGACGAGTGTTCGACCGACGTAATTGGAACCGAATTCTCTTATGTACCTTTACGTGCATTCCGTCTGACGTTTCAAACTCTTCTCGGCGGAGCAGAGAAACCGCGGCACAAACCATCGACGCAAAATTCCGTTAAAGCCCGAACAGGATGGCGGCGGATGATCCCCTTTACTGGGAACCTTTGGTGTCCGTCGAGTTTGAAGTTTTCGGAAAAGTACAAGGTGAGTGCTGTCAATTATTCACTGCGACTGTATCAAGGTCAGTGCTTGATTGCCAAATTGTCCAAATTCCAACTTTTGACTTGCAATTGCGTTTCTTCGTCCTCCAATATTATTTGCAGGAAATAAATTCCGAAACTCTGAACAGGATTCTGATTTGCCGTTGAATCATATTTTACAAGTTAAATTTTCTCACTTCCGAACGTACTCCTGCAACACGATTGACATTTATTAATAATAATCCCATCTGTTTGCAATATATATCTATATATTCTCATTAGATTTATATTGTATTTGTTAGCAAGCTACGAAGTTTAGTTTGATATTCAATGTCGAAAAATCTGCAAGTCGTTTAAGTATACATAAGGACTCTTTATCTCTTTACCTCGCGATTAGCAGGCGTCTAAAGCTCCTAAAATCTTTAACGAACTTGCAGGTGTGTATTTCCCAAAGTATGTGAGGGATATATGTCTGCAATTGGGAATTTGCGGTTGGGTGAAAAACAGTAAAACCGGCACAATCCTCGGGAAGATGCAAGGACCCCGGGCGCTTGTCGATCAGATGTGAGTCTTATTGAGTTGAATCTGCGCGTAAACTCGATCGATTTCAATTAGACCGCTCGGTTTCAAAGTCATCGTCGTACATAAATGCGGTAAACGCCGGCATTTATGTACTTTTTGGTTCCTCGACCGCGTGCGGCCTCGATCGACAATTGCCGCGTAACAAGCCGCGGCATGTCGAAAACTGGCTTTAATAACGATTTAATGAAATAATGACACAGCGGCGTATCACCTGTTTCCTTCGTCGGCGCACGCTACGTCACCACGTCGAGGCACCGGCGGCAGTCGTCGTTGAAAGACGCCAATACAGACGGTCTTGCACGAGGAATGATTTGAGGCTTCCTGACAGATCCTGAAATAGAAACTAATCGGGCTGAATCTTAGCTCGCTGAATAATGCGTATATTCCGACAAGAGGATGCATTTGCCATTCGCAACCGGAGTTGTAGAGTCGTTAAAAAGAGATATAGAAGATATTTGTTATTTCGAGATGTGAGCCAGACCTACTGATCCGTTTCTTCGATCGTGATCGCGTGAATGTTTTGCATGTTGAAAAACGTATTCCAAGAATGTACTCGCTTTCGTGACATTAACGAAAAAATGTCTTGTCTTTATCGCAATATTGGCGAAGAATTGAACATTTTACGAGAGACAACTGAATATGTTTCCTGCTACAATTTCTCTCAAAGCGATCGTTCATCAATTGTAAGCTACACTTGTAAAGGGCAGTCGAGCAATTACGAGGATTCCATTTCGATATCTTCGCGTAAAAATATCTGAACTCGGTCTGATTAGTCGCTAATTATAATTTTGGAGCGTGCGAAGCGCCAGTGGCAAATGCATTCGTACACAGAACGCACACTCCGGCGTTGTTTGGTAACGGCGAGTAACGATGTCAACGATGCAATTGGCAGCACGACAAGCACTCGCATGACCTTCTTAAACTTGAAATCAAGCTATTACTCGATTTTTCGCGTCAGCCAATTTATATCAAGATGCAGGAAGATATATATACATTCCTCGAACACGACGCTTAACATCTCTGCAAAAACGTAGCTACGGTCTTCGAAGCGAATTTAAAAGCATTCATGATTGCTAGTCGATTGCACAGCAAAATAGCCTTGATACAATTGCCTTGAGGAATAACGCAAGAAATATTTCGTTTCCAGGGCACAGTGGTTAACGTCAGTGGGCAGTCCGAACAGTGAGATAGATCGTTGCGAGTTTACGAATTGGGAGAACGTCACAAAGCAGCAGTATCAAGGTTTTGCGATTCGTTTCTAAGAGTCTGATGCACGGTTTAAAATGCACAAGTTTCAGCTCTGATGCAAACAAGTTGACTTGCGACAGAACAGACTCAAAATTCCACAACGACAATCGAAAACAATCTCATCTTCTGCGATAGTTTTATCGAACACGCGTCTTATCGCATTTTTAGCAGATCGCTAATTTGCGTACGATTGAGGCGACAAATGTAATATTTAAAGTATTTTTAATAAATTATAGATCCCTCTTAAAAATTAAACATGATTACTTTCACAAAAGTGTACGTCCGAAAGAAATGTTATATTTCATTACAGATATAGAATGCTCATTAAAATTTTCAAACTCAATGATTCTACATAAATCTTTAAAAAATCGGTAACACGCTTCGTTTTTGTGAGAAAACGCCTGATAAATTATATATACATCTTAGAATTAGAACAGTCTATGTCCTGTGATACAAGCACTATTATATATATATATATATATGTATATATATATAGATATGCATCCTTAATATGAGATGCGACTCAGGGAGATAAAGAACACCATCGAAATCGCGTATAATTGCACGCAAGCACCGAAAGATCTGTAATTTGTATTACTTACTTTTACGACTTTACGACTTTGATTATCACTAGTTCCATTACTGTACGCCGACAATTGACATTTTCTCATCGTTTGCTATTAAGAGAATCAGCCGTGCTTCTTTCGTTGTATTAATATATGTACAAGTTATACAGCTTCTTCTTATGTGTATGGCGGTTTTGCTTCACAGGTATCACAGGACATAGTGTGGAAAAATTTTAGTTGTTAAAAATAATAAATATATGTTCCATCTAACATCAGTTGCGCAATATGGTAATCACAGTGAGTTTTTGGTAAATGCATAGACACTCGTCGGATCAATTCCACAGTGTCCGCATTCGAGCAATTCGTACATAGTATCTCAGGCACATTCTGGAAAAGGAAGTACGGTCAAAAGAAAAAAAAGAGTTAGGAATATTCGACGAATAAAATGAGAAAATTCGAGCGTCAAGTCTTACCAAGCTTTCTAAGTATCTTGTGAGCGCTGGGCTCATTCGCGACATTTCCTCCAAAAGATTCGGCGTCTTCGAGAGGTACGCCATCATCCTTCTTCCAGCTATAGGCAATAAGTTCGCAGCCAAGCGTTCGATATCGGTTACCGCTGTAGTTACCTAATTACATATATATAGTAGATATAATTATAGCATATAGAAATAATTGTAAGCAACTCTACAATATATAACGCGAATAATAAATAGATTTGTTAATATATCCACCTCTTCTGCCAAACGATCGAAACCGTTAATGTAGAGCTGACAAGCTTGGTGTATCCTCAATTCGTCATTGTTAATTTTCCAGATAGACGCCAGTGTTTGACATTTGCTCATCCATAAAATAGCCTGCGTCGAACTAACCGTCACGCCGTCCGTGGTCTCTCGATGAATAAACTCCATCGACGCTGTAATTACTTTGCATAAAAATTCCGTGCGCGTATTATCTCTCTTGTCGTCTCGGTACCACGTGAGCATCGCTTTGTCCGTTATGTCTTGAAAGAAATAGGGTTGCACCTGCGCGAGTGATTAGTATATTCGTATGTATAAATATACTCGTTCATGTATAAATGCGCATTGATTATTATATTTCACTCACCACAGACTCGAACAGATTGTTCAATGGCTTTAGCATTTTCAAATTAAGACACGCCATCATGTACAGAACATTGGCCACTTGCACGTGTAACAAAACCAAGTCGTACCACGCTGGCGTTTGAAAGACAGCTAGTGCGGCGAACGCTTGCGGTCCGCCGCAGTGTCCATCCCACAGTTCTTCCGACTTTATTGCTTTACTCTGCCCTCGCTCGAGTATCTCAGCCTGCATGGAGTAAAAATCATCTTTAGCTAATAAGATCGCATTTCTCACACAATAATTTTCTATTCTGCACGCACTAACATCGATAAATATGTCCAAGAAAGTAACGCAGTGTTGCAAGAATGTTGTCAGTTGAATGTCGGATAAACCGATGTCTTGCATGCACAATCTTTCCTTCGGCAATTTTCCGAGTTTGTTCATCAGCTTCGCTGCCGCTTCCATTCGTTTTTTTATATGAAGCGTCCACAATAAACAGCAAACGCCTATTGAACGAATATGAAAATGTAGCTACAAATGTGTCTTCAAAGTATCTTGTCGAGGAAAACGATATAAACGCCCTTTACCGTGTCTCAGATTCTTCATAGGTATCTGTCGCAGTACAGTCAAGGCAGCTGCGAGCGATTCTAGCTGAGTGACATCTTTGTTCCACGACATCGCAAATTCCCAGCATAAATTAGCCAACAAGACGCTGCTCGTTAAACTGTACGGAAAGTGGCGCTTGAGTAAAATCATTTTGTCTGAAAAAAAAAAGAAGAAGACAGGTTGGAATGACTAAATACAACAACAGAGTAATGGTACACATCTTAAATGTATCTTGCCTAAAATGCACGCTTCCGCAGTCGTATTGACCTTTGCCTCATCTCCAATTTCCACCGATAATGAGAGCAACTTCGTTTGTTCCTGTTGCGGGACTTCGACCGAAGTCGCTTCGTCCAGCGCATCGTTTGATTGTAAAGAATCCACTGACAGCTGCAACTGATCGAATTCCACGTCGGTCGTGTCGATTAACCGCGTCGGATCGATACCCGTCGTACTCAGCCACTTTGCGACCAGTTCGGACACGGAACCTGACACGAACGAATAAGTCTAGAATTATACATAGTTATCTAGAATATTATCGATGAAGTTGAAGGAAAAGAAATATACCTTTTCCTTTGGAAAGAATTGACGCTAAAGAAATGTCGTATTTGACAAATGGCAATGAAAAAAATTGTGTCGTCTCGTCCGACGCGACTTGCTGACTAAAATTAAAACGCTCATTATTACACATCAGTGGAAAATCATAATGCAAATATGATACGCACCTAACAACGGCACTCAAAATGGTAATGTCTTCAAGATTGCCGATTAACAATGTGAATTGACAGGTATCGTTGCTAACATTTTCCCATTCGCTAATCGAACTGTACGTCTCATCATCCGGTGTGACGTCGCTCGACTTTTTCTCCACCTCGTCCACTTCGGTCACATTATTCCCATTCTTAACGTCTTCTCCTTCGTTTCCGTTAGCCTCCGACAGCTTCTGATTCTGCAGTTTCTCTTTATATTTCTCTAGAGTCATACCAATCGCCCTGCATGCTAGCGCAGCAGTAAGCGCATTGAAAGGTTTCGTAGATTCTGTCAGAGTTGTGCGCACGTTTCTCCACCACAAAGAAATTTCATTATACTCTGTACATATTTCTTCTATATCTGTGAAATTTGAATCGATTAAATGCAACGCGCTGTAGATATTATGCAACGTACCAAAGCAATAGTTAAGACCTACCGGTTAATAAACAAATGACATGCAGAAGTTGCGTAAAACGTTTTAATTCTATTTCCAAAGACACGACTTCCTCTTTATGCGTCCAATATGTTAATGCTAGCTGCATGAAAATAGATGGTTGAATATTACTATCTCTAGCAGCTTGCTGCCATTTTTCTTTTATATCATTGGAGTGCATCCATCCCTGATATATTAGCCGCGCTAAAAATCACATCAAATTTAATGCAATAATCGTTTTCATTTAATTCAATCGTTATTTTTTTTATAAAGCATACTTACAGATTTCGCATATTTTTTCCCCTTTTAAGTCTTTTCGCAATCCAACCGATTTCGACACACCAAATTCAAAGCATGATAAAAAATCGAAAAACATTTTTTCGTCCTCTTTAAATCTGACTTTAGTTTCTATTGAAACATTTGCATCTTGAAAGTTGCTTAACGTCTTAGCCAACTTAATGATACTGTGTACTTCTCGTTCTGAAGTTAACAACAGGAAAGATAAACTTTTAGCACTTGGTATGTTATCAGCTGTTACAGCGTTATATTCGGATGGAATGTCGAATTGAGCTTTAATATATTTATAAAACGTAATTATTTGTTGCAATTGCATTGTCAATTGATAGAGCGTCTTAGCGATAGGATCCAATTCTTCTTCTTCTGTAACATTAGCATATGAGTTTCATACTTAAGACTTTCATATATAATTTTGTAAGTTTCCAAATTGTTAAATGTTTAACATTTATTACGTAGAACATTATGCATACCTGACTTTATTACAAAACAGTTTGTTGCAGCAAGCAAAGCGTTCGGCAAGATGTGTTTATTATTCATTAAAACTTCTATCGTTTGTACCCTTATTTCATTCGTCTTTAATCCCACACAGGTGTTGGTAACTTCGGAAACTAGTTTTTCCTCGTCAAAATCTTCCTCTCTTAAAAATGTTCTGAGCTTTCTGAGCAAGTGTATATCGCGCGCTCGTTTTCCATTCTTACTATTGAGTGCAAAGTGAAACGGGACGCAAATCTCCTTCAATCCTCCAAGTGGATCCATGAACACACACGAATATTGCGCTTTATTCTTTAATAAAGTAGCATTGTCATTTGCTCCCAAAAAACCGTAATTAATGTACAGTAATCTGCAACAATTAGATTAACAATCTTACATTGGAAAAACAAAAAGAATAGAACTAGAAACGGAATGAAAGATAATGCAATTTACCGTCCATTCTTGCTAGCAGTGAAAGTAGTGATTTTTGGACCTTGCTGTACATTCCAAATATCTATCACTCCTTTCTTTGGCGCGTAAATAACTAAAAACAAGGCAGTGCGCAATAAAGTTTTTCGTCCGGACTTATTTATATTCTTATGAATTCCACGATCTTTTTCTTCAGTAACTTCGATCCAACCGCACTGAGCATCGCGGTATCCTTTCCACATTCTTACAGCTATGCCCTTTCTGTTATTTATGAGTATCACTCTGCCCATGGCGTCCGATATTACCGATAACATTTTGTTTGGACTGCAGACGATAGAATCACCCTCTCTCATAATATCACTTAAGCCAAAACGACAGGTCATTGTTTCTATAGATTCATGAACGTTACCCTTTGATGCCTCGGATGCTGCACTCTTCGAGCCGCCACGAAACCATCTAAAATTAATTTGTTACTCGGAATTCATTAATTCTTGAAATTGATCTGAAAATCTTATAGAAAACACTTACGGAACAGCGGTACCAATGGCATTAGCCAGCTTGCTAGCCATAGCAATAGCAACGTCCGATAAAACTGGCGCGTTACCACCCTCAAGTGCGTAATGAAATCCTACAAACGGTCGTTTCCCCGTTGCTAGGACCAAATTGTGTTGCGGAGCACTAGATCTATACGTCGCGTTATATCCGCCGCAAATTGAAGCTGTCATTAAATGATCAAAACTATTTATCGATGTTGTGCCAATCACTTCAGAATCGTGTGCAATATCCTGATTTTTAAATGCCCACTTTTTATATGACAAATTTGTAACTGGCGGCAAATCATTGCAATTGGCTTGAACTGTAAAAAAAAAAAACTCACTACATCGAAATATTATGCAAGACGACATATATAGTAGGTGACGATGTACCTCTAGCTAAATGATTTCTACAAGCACGTAAAGTTGAAAATAATGGAAATCCTTGTAATATACAGACACCACTGTTGTATAAAATATGGATTTCTTCACTACAGCTAGCGTCCCCAGTGTGTCTTGGTAAAGAATACGATTGACATTTTATTCCTAAGACTGATTCACAGTGGATTTGCTCTCCCAAAAGCAGTGCACCTGTCTAATATGAATAAAATTAGTATAGTACACTAGTAATAGAGAAATAAGAAAAATTATATTCTTACTTCTGTATAGAATCTAATAAAGCCTGTATTATAGCCAACAGCTATACACGTCCAATCTGGACCACTGGCCTTTCCTAAGGATATTAAAGGTAAGCAGATCACTGATGTTATCCATTCACTGAAAAATATCTTCACTGTAATAATTACAATAATATTATTGCAGTACAACTTAAAAATGTTACTTACTTTGGTTCCTTTGTTATCTCACCGTGCCATGTTATATGAAACTTGTTTTTTACTTCATCTAATTCTTGCGAATCCCATTTTGCTGTCAACACATATTAAAGAATAATTGTATGTACGCTAAATATGTATCTATAATTCTGTGATTATATGAGATTTTTATATTCATTTCAAATAAATTATTAAATATATGCTATATTTGTTACATGTTATCAATAGAAAAAAAGATTTACACTTACAGACAAATATAATTATCTTTGTGTTCCAAGCCATTGCAAGTACATCTCCAACCGACGAAAGTGATATATAACAATCTTGAAGAGGTAATTCATTGCCTGGTACATATTCAACTAAAACACAAATTCAAGTATATATTCGAATGCAATAATTCAAGTTGTCAGAATCATAATCATACATCAAGTAAAACTCACATTTACTAATGGCACTTCCATAAAGTAATTTTCTAACATTATTTATATCTGGAATATTTGCTATCCCTTTAATTTGACACGACATTCTGCTTAATTAATTGTATACAAAAGTAATCATACAATAATACTTAATTCTGGCATTTATTTATTATTCCACAATCTATGCTCGAATCTGCTTAATAACAAATATAATATATGTAATATGTACTGTACTAAGCACTGCCTCCATATTTGATTTAATGTTTAGCTGCCTACCCTTTAAACGGTCAGACCAGCTGTTTGACCATAGATGTGATGAGTATAGACTGTCATTTGAAGAGCGTCGAGAATTTAGAAAGTTCGTTAGGCATAGTTGAATTTTCAAAATTAAAAAGACACTAGAAGTAAAAGTATATCCATATCAACTTGCATAAGTCTGGATATATCCTAAAAGTTTGGTCGATGTTGCTAATTTGACAGAAAATGACAACCATGCCACAATTGTGATTTATAAATATAAATTGAAGTCAAGCAGATAAAACATACCAGATCATATGTGAAAAAAATTCGAGATGAATGCTGTATTCAATCGTGCACCTTCCTGCGTAAGTTCGAAGATGTTAAACTGATAAGGATTTTGGAGAATCTAATGCGTATATAATACTTTAGGTTAGACCACTTCTTATGAGAAGTGTGTCGGTAAGTTGCTCCAGGCAGAAAGATGATTTCCAAGACTTAATTCATCCTGACAGCCGGGAACCTAGCATCCCACATTATGTAGAACGTGAAGGAGAAAATGCAGATCTTAAAAGAGCACGGTACTACACTAGATTTTGTTGTGATGAAACAAAAAGTCTACTAACAGTCTAGCTTAACTAAATTTTGTATATCTTATTGTGCCTATACATATCATATTATGTCTCATTTATTATTATAATGACAGAATTAGATAAATATTTAGTCAGTTATAACTATTGATCCGATAGAATTTTTAATAATATTCTAATGTTTTATTATATCTGTTATTATCTTAGATTGACATATCAGTCTCGTAAGCGTGGGATGTTGGAGAACGGTTTGCTTCTTAGCACATTTGCAAAGAAATATTTAAGTACGTTCAATGACACACAGTTAAGACTTTATGATCAACTTATAAATTTACCGTCAAACGATTGGGACATATTCTACTGGGCAACTGGTGTTAAGCCAACTCCATCTGAATTTGATAATGAAGTGATGAACTTATTGAAACGTCATGTTCAAAATGAAGATCGACAAGCTAGGATAATGCAACCCGATCTATAAATGATGTTTCACATAGTAATGTAATTAAATAGTAATTTTAAAAATGTAGGCTTATAATAGTATAACTTAGAATATTTAATAAAGTCGCTTGTGTGTATAAAAAAATATCAAAATTTTATTACAAAAACTATTTTACAAATATATATATATATTATGCGAATACTTACAAACTATAAATATAATGTAGTTTGACTGTAGAGATTTTTTTAATTTATAGAATGGCTAAAACGCCACATAGAATATTCAGATACTTTAATCTCGAGATTTGTACGGAAATGCCTATCTCATCACAGAGTCCTAAAATAATTTATGAAGGAAATAGAAAAATCAATTAATTAATGTTCAAGTATCTGTTAGGATGTGCAAGGTAATGTTTTGATTGACTAAAACTTGCGAGACCCACAACTTTTTTTGCATTATTCACAGTTGCATTATATTTTGTTGTTGAACTTTTTGATGAACCTCTTCCCCTCCGTGCACTGTAAATGTATGAAAAATATATTACAATATATAAAATATTCATACAGATACATAACAGTATAATCACTAATTTTATATTATTTTATTTATTTTCTCTGCTAGAATATTGATGCAATTTATTTATTATATTATTATATATAATCAGAAGTAATATATTTTTATACTACCTTGCGCCACCTCGTTTATATCTTTTATTAATACTGTTAGAACGACTGCCAATCTTTCGTTTCCTGCCACGGCGATTACTAGTACTACTACTATTGTTAAAGCTATCATCATTCCAGGTGTTATCATCATCATTGTCAACACTATCCTGTTCTTCATCATTGCCCTCATTTAACAATACTGAAAATAATATTTCGTAAATTTATATTTTACGCGATATCTCGAAATGTAGCTTATCGTGTATGTATCACGTACCAATTTTTTCTGCCGCATATCTCTGCGTAGCCTCTAAAAGAAGTTTGCCATATTTAACAAAGTTAGCTTTAGTGACATGCGGTATTTGTAACATGGCTTCTTCAGTCTCAGGTAAACGCTGGCTCATCGCTCTGACAGCCACCATATTCATGATAGAGGAAGCAGAAACATCCAGAGTGTCAGCAATCCCTCTTATTGTTGTCATCAACTCGACATAGCAACGATCTTGTAATTCCTTAATAATTCCATTGACTTCCTTTGTAACTGTTGAAACTGTGGCCACACCGCTTGTAGACTTATTCGAATGTCTTATCGGGATTTCTATCTGTTTAAAATAAAGTAAAATATATTAAGATGCAATAAGTAAAAAAAAATTCAAATGTGTGCTAACGTGAGAACTTTTAAAATATGTTGAAATTTATTCACTTATTTTATATTTTCAAAATATTCTGCTGTTTAGAATAATACCTTTGCATCTTTTTTCGTCATGAGTTCACTCGCTTTCGGTCCGATTTTTACATATGCACAAGCAATCTCATTGTTAATATACATATTCTCTTGCAAATATTCTTGTAGTACCATGTAGTGCAAAAGGCGTTCTATGTCGCATTTGTTCCACGATTTACCACGGCCGTATAAGAAATGTTTCGTAAGACCTAAAGTTTAAGAGAAATATTTTTAGTTGTATTTTAGTAATATATAAATACTGATTTTATTGTTGGATATAAACCTGATTCGCGAATCTTTTTGAGATCACTGCCCTTAAAAATGTCTGTTAAAAATACTAATGTAAGTTTGCTATTCTTTCTATTGTTGATATCTCGTACAGCCTTCATGATCTCCTTTGCATCCGCCGTTACGTCCAACATTGTAATTTCCTCCTAAATTAATCATCGGTAATAATTTTATTTAGAGACTTTACATTGCAATCGTTCATTTAATTCATACAATATACGTACCTTGCTCCTGCAATTATCGCATGCAGTTGCTTTATATGAAATGCATTCTTGTCTGTCAAATATTTCTCCGAAATAATTAAGCTGCAGTGATCTACGACAATCCGTGGTATTTTCCGCAAATGCCACCATCTTAAACAAATTGTCCATGTGTGTGCTCATGACTTGTGGATTTGGATTATCGAATTCGAACATTTTTCTGATTCTGTGCATATCTGTATAATTATAAAATAAAATACAATCTGCTATTTCGCCGTCACGACCAGCGCGGCCACTCTCCTGATAATAGCCTTCTATGGATTTTGGCAAGGCTGCGTGTATCACGAAGCGCACATTTGGTTTATCAATGCCCATTCCAAAAGCTATGGTCGCGCATATAACATGCACCTAAGAAGAGAATAATTGTTTGAAAATAATGTAGAAATCGTAAAAAATACAATTATAGATAAAATATATAAAATTGTATCACAGTATAGCGCAGCATGATAAGATAAAGCATATGATAAGATATACTTCGTCAGAAATCCATCTTCCTTGACAGTTGCTTCTTTGATTGTCAGTAAGTCCCGCGTGATAACTCAACGCTTTAATGCCGTTTTTCTTCATTTGAGCAGCGTAATCGTCACAGTCCTTGCGCGATAAACAATATACAATACCGCAAGTATTTTTGAATTTTGTCATTATCATAGCCACAACTTCATCGGAACAATTTTTTCCTTTCTTAGAGATTATACTGTATCTTAGGTTGGGCCTGTTAAAACTCGACATAAACCTAGAAATAAAATCATTGATTTTTTAACACACACACACATATATTCATGTAATTATAAATAATTACATATCCTACATACCATTTAGGATTAGTCATACCCAATTGATGCAAAATATCTGTTCTAACGCGCGGTGTAGCTGTGGCAGTCAGAGCCATTGTTGGCACTTTAGGATAATTATCCCTGAGGCACCTAAGTTTTTTGTAATCAGGCCTAAAATCATGACCCCATTGACTGACGCAGTGTGCTTCGTCGATGACAAACTTTACCAACAATTCTCTCTCGTATAAAGTGGTCAGAGTATTACAAAACTTTTGCGAGGCGGAAATTTTTTCTGGCGTTACGTATAATATCTTGAGAGCGGGTTCCTTTTTCGAAAGTTCTCTGTAGACCGCTTCTGCTTGATTGTCCGTTAGAGAACTGGATAAGTGAGCTGCAGGAATCTGTAAATTTTAATTCAAGACTTTAGAAAATAATGTAAAGCTGTAGAATATGCATACATGATATTTTGTAATGTGAAGATACAACATTCTCTCGCTTACATCAAGTGAGATAAGTTTTTGAACTTGATCTAAAATAAGGCTTTTCAGCGGTGAGATAACAATTGTTAATCCAACACTTAAAAGTGCAGGTAATTGATAACAAAGAGATTTTCCGCCTCCAGTTGGCATTAAAACAAAACAATCAAATCCCAGTAGTGTTGCGTTAATAGCTTGCAACTGATTCGGCCTAAATGTATACAAGCCAAATTTCTGTCGAAAAATCTGTAAAATAAAAGAATATAAATAGTGCGACTACATATTAATTATGCATATGTGGATTACTTGCCATAATGGCATTACACTACTTGCGTAAAATGTAAAGATAATTAAATATTTTATACCTTTAACATTTCTTGCGAATGTGGATATGTTGAGCCATCAAACTCTCCACTAACACCATCATTTTTATAATTACCAGTGAATTTTCCATGTTCCACATTATTTTTTTTAAGCTTCGATTTTACTTCTTTATTGTTTTGCTTCTTACTTCGCTCGTGGCAAGGCTCAGACCAATCTATAAATTACAATAAAACATTTATCAGATTCTTAGCACAAGTGCAACAAAAGGTTTTATATAAAACTTGTACCTATGAAATCATCGTTTATATCTATATTACAATCTGCTCCCAAAGCTGGAAATTGTTCTATCTCTTGTGATAATGTTCTAGCTTTTGCTGGAAATGTCTGACAATTGTCTGCAACATTTTTTAAATTAAAATTTTTAATAAAGAACAAAAAATTAGTATTTTATTTGCTATCTGCTTACCTTGAGATTTATTAGTACCAATCCAGTTTTCTGGACTGTCCTGGAGGGTGTTTCTTTGCAAAGATATACTTTTTTCTCTCGGTGGTGTTTTCATAGTATCGTTAAATGTATTTTTCACAGGTTTAGGAACATATTCAGAATTCGTTGAAGAGTTCACTGTCTTAGACACTTGTTGATCCTTTTCCCACATTTCTGCTATCGCTTTAGAAACTTGACTTCCTAGCACTGTCTTGACAGGTCTCTTTAACTGAAAAGTACTCTTCTTATGTGCAACTTTAAGTTCGGGTGATCTGTTTATTGATGGAGATTCTGTATTGCTATTGTGTTCTTTCGTGTACGACTCTGTTACATTGAATGAGTCATGAGAAAAATCTATCATTTTCGATGCAGAGGTACTCGGCATGTTATAATTTTCATAATTACTCATCAGACTACTCTCATACGTATGTGAAGTTGGTGTTTCGATTGATTTTGATGACAGAGATTCAGAAAGATCCAATTCCGATATGTTTTCATCTTCATTTTGCAATTTTGATAATTTTGTTTGCACTAAACGCAATTTAGCTTTTACGTGTCGATGCAGGCCTTGTAATTTTTTTAAAGAATCCGGATCAAATTTTGGAAATTGCTCCAGTACTGGTAGTGGAATCAATTCAAGTGCGACACAAAACTTGTCAAGAACTTCAATTTGAAGATCTTTTAAATTTTCCCGTCTTTCTAACAACTTGTCCTTTGTAGTCTACAACAGATAAAAAAAAATTAATGCCTAGTTCAAGTTATAAAGTTAATTAATATTAATTTATAATATTTTATAATATAATTGAAACTTACAGGCACTATGGACATTGCTGGTTTCTTTTGAATGGATTCAATCCATGAACCTAACTGCTTATTTAAACCCAAGTCTTTCAAATTTAATCTAATATCAGGGCCTACCCATTCTTTTCTTGGTGATCGCTTACTATTGTGTGTTGAACGAGGACTATCGGCATCAGAGTCCGAAATTAAAGAATTTTTTTGTTTATTATGTTTTTTAGGAGTCTGTAAACGCTCATTAATGTTTTTTTCCACTGCATTAATGGTATCATTGAGTGTTTCATTTTTATCTAATGATCTTGTGCTGCTAGAAGCAAAATATTCACTATCACACTCATTGTCAGTAAAATTAGTTTTTGATACAGCAGTTTGCTTCTTTTCTTTTATTAATGTTTCATTCGATTTACGATTTAAACGTAAGCATCTTCTAAAATTTTTTTTATCTTCTTCACTGTCAGAAGACTCAGGAATAACTAAATCTTTTATAAAATCAGCATCTTTCTTTTCAAAATTAGTATTCTGTGAAGGATTTGAAGATTTGGATTTTTCTCTCTCAATTCTTTCTTTTTCTTCTATTGAATTTTCAACATAATATGGTTCTGAAATATTCTGAACTTTACTTATTTCTGTTTTCAAGGGACTGTCACACAAGTCTGAACTGTCTGAATTATCCTGTGGTTTAAAATATGAAAATATCATAAATTATTTTCTAATTTGACATGTTTTATAAAATAAAATTTTATAAATAAAATGCATACATTAATTAAAGATATATATACATTTTTAAATAAAATAGTAATCTTACAAGATTTATTATTGCATCTATTGTTACCAAATCTCCAGGTATTTTTCTTTGTTTATCAAAATATGAATCATTCAATGATTCATTACTTAAATCAGTATTTTCTTCTTTTATTGATTTTGGTGTACTAAAAAATACAATCCTTTAGTCTTTTAAAAACACATATGTATATAATGTTATATTACGTTTTACATAAAAATTATTATAAACATATTAAAATATTACAATTAAGATATTTTTATAAAGACAAATAAATTTTGCCCACCTAGACTGCAGAATATTATTTTTATCTGTCTTTTTAGCTAAAAATCCCACAATTGTAGATTGAGTACGTTTTTGACCAAGTCCTATCTTTTTGGACATTATTAATATTGTGACTTTAAAATATCCGTAAGAAATTTACATAATTTGATACAACACTTATATAGATAATATGATCATTGATGTATATTCTTCAGTGATGTGTGATTAGTTAATGTTGGTTAATGTAAACAACAGAATTCTCTTCATTTAGAATAAATTCTCTGATAAAACCAGCATCAGACTATGCAACTTGTTGCAACAATTCGCATGCGATCTAGTGAATTACTAGAAATCTTGTGTGTTGTATGGTGCATTTTTAGTAATTTACTAGATTTTATGCAAATTCTGCAAAAAGTTGCATAACCTGATGCAGGCTTAAGCTCCCTATTCTGTAATTAGGCAATTCTGTTTCAAATGCAACCATGATGAACCAACCATTAGCAACTGTTCAGCAACTGTTGAGCGGTGATGAATGATGGTAGGGGAGACATAGTGCTGCCGTCTGGGCACGTAACCCCGATCTTCAAAAGTGATCCCCGAAAAACACAGGAGTTTGCATACCCTGCAATTCGGGGAGTACGTATTGTACACGCCTGTCGCATTTTGTATGAAAAATAGGGTAAGATGTGGGAACGCAGAGTGTTCGTAGATTCGCAACTTCTTACTGATATGCGCGAGTACAAAAACGCACATCCCGGTCTATCTTTCTCGCTATCTTTCGACGATATATGTTTCTTTTCATGTGTTATCATCCGAGCGCGTCCTTGCGCGAACGTCGTTTGCGACATCCGTGAATTTCAGCTGTCACGCAGGTGTCACCGCGCAAAAATTACGCGATAGTTTCCACGTATGGCGATGATCTGGCGACGATCCGGTTGTCCTTCAGAATCGCGCCGTGAGCGGTCTCTTCATCATCTGGGACGTCGCGAGAAATAATACGCGCGGTGGTCGCGCGCTCGCAATTTTTATCCGCCTCTCGCATTTTGACACGCAATAAACAACGCAAGAGCTACATCGTCATCCGATTTCGCAAACACTTAAGCGCAGTCATTGGCCGTCGCTTTTAGACGGTATCAGCAATATGCGTATCGTACGCAAGAAAATACCCCTCTGATTCTAGATTCAAGTGGCGTGGAACATCGTAAATACATCGTTGATCGGACCACATCGTTCTTAGGCCAAACGGAAAATTTCTCCAGTCATGAGCTGTGTACGTTGTTGCTTAATTCACGCGGGTCGCCTGGCCTCTTGTAATCATGTTACCAATCATGGTGAGTGGTGTTTGTAAACAGTTTTTTGACTACGATAGATGGATAGCTATATACTATTGTTTATAAAAAGAAACAGTACTAACAAAAGATTTATTTATGGCAATGCAGTACATAAAATTGTGAGAGTTGTTGTGGCCAGTAGAACTTTGACAATTAGTCATGGTTTGGCAAAAGCCCCAACGGAACCTACACCACCTTCTAAAGACACTACTTCATCCAGTGGATCCTCCAGTAGTGGCACTGGTGGTGGGAAAAAGAATACTCTTACCTGTCCTAAGTGTGGAGATCCTTGCACACACGTTGAAACATTTGTTTGTAAGTAAAATATTGCTTAACAAAAGTTCAAATATAATTATGCTAAGATTGGCAATGTATCTCAATTTACACTAAGATTTATTTTTACATACTAATATTAACTTCTAATACAGCATATCTGCCATTTTTGCAAATAATATAGCATCAACGAGATTCGTCAAGTGTGAAAAGTGCCATCATTTCTTCGTTGTTCTATCAGAAATTGATTCAAAGAGGAGTTTGAAGGAAGCACTTAGGCCAGAAGATGGAAAGCAAGGTTTCTACAGAAAGCCACCTCCACCTCCAAAAAAAGTAATTTATTTTAATTCTGATTATTGATAATTTAGAATTATACAGATAAAGACTTGTTTGGAAACATAACAAAAGTGGACATTAAATCCCTCTTAACTAACAAGGAAATAATATTTTTTCAGATTTTTGAATATCTAAACAAACATGTTGTGGGCCAAGAATATGCCAAGAAGGTGTTGAGCGTTGCTGTCTACAATCACTACAAACGAATTTACAACAATCTGCCTGTACAGAATTCACAAGCACAAACTAATGTTAACACGATTGGCACCCAGGAAACGAATCATCCCTTTACTCACAGAGGTCCTAAACCACGTAAATAGCAATACTATAAAATGATTCAATATTATAAAACATTATTGCATATACTTTAATTAGATATGAAATTACCGAGCACTATTTAAAACCAGTTTCATGTCTAATAGTGATTAAAGTAGAATTCAAATCTAGAATAATATTTTTTTACATTTTTTCACAAAAAGTATTAATATATTATTATAAGTGATAATCGTAAAATATTCTCTTTATAGATTTATTACATATATCGGGCATTGGAAATCCATTTCCGGGAGTTGGATTTCAGCATACTATCAATCCAGGAAACGAGCAGAAATCGACAAGCAGTCAGTCGGCTCCTGGATCATCTATATTAGATAGCAAGCAACATCAGTTAAAATTAGAGAAAAGCAACATATTGTTACTCGGTCCTACGGGATCCGGGAAAACGTTACTCGCGCAGACAATAGCCCAGTGTCTCGATGTTCCATTCGCCATATGTGATTGTACCACTCTCACGCAAGCCGGTTACGTCGGCGAAGATATAGAAAGTGTCATAGCTAAGCTCCTTCAAGACGCCAACTACGTGGTGGATCGCGCTCAAATGGGCATCGTCTTTTTAGACGAGGTCGACAAGATAGGGGCTATTCCCGGAATCCATCAGCTACGCGACGTTGGTGGAGAGGGTGTGCAGCAGGGAATGCTAAAGATGCTGGAGGGAACGATTGTGAACGTGCCGGAGAGGAACAGCTCGAGAAAGTTGCGCGGAGAAATGTTACAAGTGGACACTACGAATATTCTTTTTGTCGCGTCGGGCGCCTATAGCGGTTTGGACAGGCTGATCGCGCGACGCAAATCGGAAAAATATCTCGGATTTGGCGCGACGCCCGCTTCCGAGAGCCCGGGCAGAAGAGCGGCGACTTTGGCCGATGTCGCGAATATGTCACCTTCTACCGAGAGGGACAATAAGGAGAAGGACATGTTGCTGCAACAAGTGGAGGCTAGAGATCTCATCGATTTTGGCATGATACCCGAGTTCGTCGGCAGATTCCCCGTACTCGTGCCTTTTCATACTCTTGATAGGGACATGTTAGCGAGAATTCTCACAGAACCAAAAAATGCCATTGTTCCTCAATATCAGATGTTGTTCTCAATGGATAAGGTGATTTTCATACCCTCATTCTTGCAATAGTCTGAGAAGTATTTATCTATTTAAATCATCTATCTATTAATAATTGTAAATTATATTGGATTTTACAGGTGGAATTGACGTTCGATATTGACGCGCTAAATGCAATTGCTTCGTTAGCGATGGACAGGAAAACCGGAGCGCGTGGTCTTCGAGCGATAATGGAGTCGTTACTCTTGGAGCCCATGTTTGAAGTACCGGGAAGTGATATAATGACGGTTCACATTACAGAACAGTGTGTAAAAGGTGTTGAAAAGCCGCAGTATGCGAGACGTGATGAGAACAATGAGGATGACATTCAACAAGCGCAGCATGTACATAATTAACAAATATTGAAAGAATGCGACACTTTGGTATAATTTTCATGGCCTTTTTACTAATAGATAGAGGTTTTTTGGACAAAATTTAAATTGAATACTTCATAATTTTTAATTATTTTATAGATGTGTTCTATAATAATTTTAGATGTATATATTTTATATATATTTATATATATATATTTGTATATATATATATATATATTAGTATATATATATATATACATATGAAATATATAAAATTATTTCGTATAAAGAACAACACTTCAAACGGTTTTTCATATTTTATATTTATACAAGATATTTCTTGAGCTTTGTTACTTTGCTAAAAATTTTGTTTCTTTACTATAGTAAATTTCTATCGATTTTAAATATAGTGTATTATAATGTTGGATATATATTCGCTGCAATTAATTATGTATATCTTATTTATATTAATGATATAATTTTTTTATCAATAATTTTCATAGAATCTTTTATTTGAGAACAGCAACAATATTAAAAATATATATGATTGCCAATACGTTGAATAGATATGAATGCTAAAAAGAAGTGTCGCATAAAAATAGCAAACGTGAAAATGAAGAGAATTTGCAGTTTTACATTTTGGAGAATAAATTTTATATCGCATAATTTATTCGTATTGCAGGAAAAGTCAAAAAAACACACATAGTAGCATTCCACAACCAATCAAGTTTTGCATCATACGTGCATTTATTGGTGGTAACATTGAAAACAAAATGTAATATCTATTCATATCTTGTGACAGAGATTATCCAACAGGGATAAAAATATATTTACATTCAACTAAATAAAAAAATTTTTTTAACAAGCTTTATTTGGCAACAGAGCTATGATGTCAAATGCTAAATGTCAGATGCAGTGAAAAAAACCCGCATTATAATTTAAATTGATTAAATGGATTTACTTAAGACATGAGGATATAAGATAAAAGAATATCAATTAAACTATAAAAAGATCAAAATTTGATTGAAAAATGTAAAAAGCCATGCAATAAAGAAAATTTCAATGCAACCACTCAAAATAAATTTTCATATGTTGTCGTAACAAAGGATACTATTGTTACGCATTGTTTAACAAAATACTAAAAAATAATTCTTATAGTTCAATAATTCTAGGAAAACTAGCGGAAATTAACATTGATCGTTTCAATAATAAGAAAATGTCATATATATATATATATATAAAGCGAAGAAAGTAAGGAATGACAAGAACATTATTTTTATGTCACAATATAATAGAAGTAGCTATGTGTAAAATATTGTACATAGTATAGACTAGTGGAAAGGAAAATATTGTGAATATTTGACTTATATAATTACACCAATTTGTCTATAAAATATCATCTGCGATATACATCCTCGCTACTTATTCACGAATGAAAACTGTGCAGTGAGAAGAGAAGGAAGAATAGGCTGTGTAAAATATAACGACGAGAGAAGACGTTTACACGAACTTTTTCCTAAATCTTCATTTCATGGTAATCCGATGTCTTATATAATTAATATATAGAATAATTCTGTATTTGTAATAAATCTCTGATGTGAGAAACTGTAATAGACTTCGATTTATATATACAAAAAAATTATTCGCGTATGAATAAAATGAATTCAAGATTTCAGCGAAAAATAGCAGTATATTAATATTGAAAATGAGGAGATTGAGATATCTGGAAGCATATTTACGATGACAGCGCTAATCAAAACTTTTAAATCTGCCATATAGCGTCTTTTTAACAGGACGCATACTTAAGTAAACCTTATGCGAATGGACGGATTTTGATCCATCGCGGATTATTTTACCATAAATTCAAGTATTTTATTTTATTAGCGGAGACGACGCAATGACGTCATTGAATCTTGGGTCGATCAAAATTCGTTTTAAGAAACGCTATAAAAAAAACTCGTTCTAAAAAAAACCAAGGATTTCACTTTCATATATTTCGGGGATTTTCCATTATCAATTGTCACAGACATATGACAACAGCCTGTATCGTACAGTACATTTTGTTTCATAGGCAAGGTATATTTTTTTTTATTTCGTCGTAGCACATGAAAAGTTTTGTAGCTTTACCGGCTTTAGCTTCAGTCGTGCATAACTTCGCCGCAGAATTTTCTTACAATATCGTGAAGTGTATATCGTAAATTGTAAAATAAGAACGCTAAATTCTTTATACAAATTAAGCAGTATTTCCGTTGAGATTTTCGCATGGTAACAATCGAACTGTCAGATTGAAAACAAACAATCGAACGCGTGTTATAAAAGCGCTCTACACAACCATGGCTACGTTCCGTAAAGCGCATATACACGATTCTCAATTGTGTATGTGTTGCTCGGGTCTTTTATCTGCCAGCTCTGTGCATTACCATATTAATAAACAACGGTGTTTATTTCTCCTGAAAGTCAAAGTTCACAATGGCAGCCCTTAAATCGAAAAATGATGAACAAGGATTACATAAAATCCAACCAAAAAAGGTAAATGATTTTAATTATGCGATTAGTACAACAAAAAAAAACTGATAAAATAATTTCAGATATTCGAGTATCTCAACGCATATGTCGTGGGGCAGGAGTATGCAAAAAAAGTACTCAGTGTTGCTATTTATAATCATTATAAACGAATTTACAAGAATCTACCTGTACAAAAATTACAAACAAACGCTGATTTGCAAAAGAAAGAGAAAAAAGAAGATTGCATGTATAAAGGTCTTTATGAATAGCAATGTTTGAATGTTATAACTTTTATTATAAAATATATCTTTGTATATCTACTGCTAGCGTAATCAGAATTGTTAAATTATATTATCATATTGTTGTAAAGTCCATGTTTGAAAGCTACACTAATAACTTCTTATAATAATCATTGAAACAAATTACAGTATAGAGTAGCAATATTTTTTATGTATTTATACTTAATAATTTTATTTTTTAGTTTTTTATGTTTCACAAAAATAGATTATTGGAGAGTATTCTAATTAATAGATTATAAATATATTAACATATTAATTATAGTATTTTTTTATTTTAGATGTTTATAGAAACATAAAAGTTGCAGAAGTGAAACAGAAATCTATGTTAGACAGCAAAGAACAGCTTAAATTGAAGAAAAATAATATAATGTTAATCGGTCCAACAGGCTCTGGAAAAACGTTACTCGCACAAAAAATGGCGGAATTTCTAAATGTTCCATTTGCTATCTGTGATTGTAGTAGTCTTACACAAAGTGGATATATAGGGGAAGATGTAGACAGCATCGTCGAACAGCTTTACCACAATGCTAATAATGATGTAAATCGTACCGAAGTGGGCATTATTTTTCTAGATGAAGTTGACAAAATAGCAGCTACCAGAGGTGTCTGCCATGACGTAGCTGGAAGAGGTGTCCAACAAGAATTGTTAAAAATATTGGAAGGAAAAATCGTAAGCATAGGGAAAAAATACAAGCGTTTTAGTGAAAATGTTGGAAGTGATGTACAAGTGGACACTACAAATATTCTTTTTATCGCGTCCGGTGCTTACAGTGAGATAAACAAGCTAATCATGCACCGCATATACAAAGATCTCGAAGTTGATGAGAACGATTCCACAGAGAGCAATAATAAAAAGAATAATATACTACTGCAAGTTCAAACGAAAGATCTTATCAAATTCGGCATGATACCTGAATTTATTGGCAGATTTCCTGTGCTCGTGCCCTTCCACGCTCTGGACAAGGACATATTATTAAGAATTCTTACGGAACCGAAAGATGCGATTATTTTTCAATACCAGGAGTTGTTCTCAATGGATAAGGTAGTTTTAATTTTCTCATTCTTCCAGTAGTCTCAAAAGCATTTATCTAATTGAATCACATGTTAATCATTAACAATAAATTGTAAATTATATTGCATTTTTGCAGGTGAAATTGACGTTTGATTCTGAAGCCTTAAAAGCAATTGTCTCCTTCGCAATTGAAAAGAAAACGGGAGCGCGAGGTCTTCCAGCGATAATGGAGGCTTTACTCTTAGAACCCATGTTTGAAATACCGGGAAGCGATATAATGTCGGTTCACATAACAGAACAGTGTGTGAAAGGCCTAGAGAAACCACAGTACATGAGAAAAAACGACAGAGAGGATGATAATAATGAGAATACTGATAATAATGAGAATACTGATGATAATAAGAATACTGATAATAATAAGAATACTGACAATACTGAAGAATAATTAAAGGATATATTTTGATTTTTGTTTTCTCTGTAGAAAAAGTTTAAGTTTTATTTTCAGGTAAAAATTAAATAAGAATATTCAGAAATTGTATTAGTTTAAAACATTTTAATGCTTAACAAATATTATTCGAAGATTATTTTAAAGAGATTTATATACTATATTTACTTAATTATATTATGTGAAACAATGCATATTTTTTTAACTGTCTTAAGTTGTTGCATAACTTAGAATTTTACAGCATATTTCTTTAATTTTTAATCAGTTATTACATTTTCTTAATTTTAGACATTATGCATTGAATATAATTAATTAATATAAATATATATATAAAAGAAAATACATACATAAGGAAAAAAAAATAGTTGTAAAATATATAATAAGCAATAAAGATGTTTGTACGAACTTTCTCCTAAATCTGCATTTCATGAATTTTGTCTTAAATATAAAATAATTTTAATGTTCATATAAAAATCTATGATGCATAATTGTAGTATATCTCAATTTATTCACTTTATAAACGATCTATAACAACATAATCGACCTATATCAACATAATATTCTAATTAACTCACTAATTACATTCCATTTCATGTGTGTGTGTAGAAATTATTTATTGGATGAAAATGATCACTATGTCAAGAATGACTATATCTAGATGTATTGTCTACATTTCATAAATTTGGGACTTGTAACATTCTCTAAAAATTTTCAATAGATCTCTATCTGATTTGATCGGTTGTAAAATGTACAATAAGAGGTATAAAATTTGTATACATAATTTACAATATTTGTAAGTACGAAAAAATATCTCATTATATATTATTAATAGCATGCCAAAAGAAGATCAAGAAAATTCTCTCAACTGTGCGAAATCTTAATTTATCAGAAGCGTCAAAAACTGTGCTGGAAACTATACACAAATTCCTTTTATATGATCAGTAGTTAATAGAAGCAAAAATAAATAATTCCATCTATCTTACAACGTTTTGTTACACAAGTGCAGCATCTCTTTCATATTTCGTTATAATACGGAGATTTCGGTGGCTTTATCGGCTTAGATTTCGGCATCAACATCGCGCCCAGTTCCGTTAAAAGCCATTTCGTCGCGCGCAATACCATAAAATGTACTGTGAATTGTAAAATTAGAGCGCCGAATCCCTTATACAGGCCAAGTGGTCCTTCAGTTGAGATTATCGTGCGGTAACAATCGGCCGCACTGCTGTACCCAGTTAACAATGGTGTAACACTTCTTCCGGTATCCAAATTATCGATAATGGTACGTGTGCCCTGAAGGTGCAATCGATGAATAACAGTTTCAAGAGGATAAAACACGATATCCGCGGCACACATCGATACGAGGGTCGATTGCATTTCTATATCCTGAAGAACACTTTCGGACAGAAAGTCTTTACTGTACGCGCCCTAAAATGCAACAAGGTTTCTATAAGTTTATTTCTACATCTTTTTCTTCAAAGTACAATGCTGAAGAAAATCAATTAGATACGTACTCTTGCCTCTTGCAAATGCTTGTACCTGACGTGCATAATTCGACTAGCCACTCCCCTCACAACAAGAGTGAAAAGATATTTTGATACTCCATAAACTATAGTGGGTGGCACGAGGGCGTAAATAGGGATGAGTCTACCTTTGTTGCACACATCGAGCAAGCGGATTGCACCGTCCCGGAAAACATCCAAGATTCCGGGACATTCGGAGGCGATCTCAGACTGTACAGTCTCCACAAGTGACGCAGAATAGAAGGGAGTCACAATACCTAAGGAGACACTAAAATTCAAAATTATATATCGATAACTTGTTAATTTATATTGATATATGTTTATTGTAATAATAATAACAATCACCATTTGAGAAGAATATGTTGGCCAAACGTTTTCAACGAATTATTATAGGTAATCTTCCTGAAATTAAATATCTAGTTTTAAAAGAGACAATTTTAGAGATGCTTACAAATGTTACAAGATACTGTAAGCATATTATTTGATGATCACTTTACTTTGGCCACGGTGTGAGTTTTGAAATCAGATCCTCCACAGCCATTGTCATGCCTCTTACAAGTAAAACCGAACCAATTCCTTTCCACAATGTGTTTATACCTTGGGTCTGATGCAGACGTACTATCACTGGCACTAAAGTTATTGGCAATAAATGATACTTTGATGCGCCTGGATTGACCTGACATTGCCGTCGCAACACAACAAATGGATGAATCAACAGATTTTCCGTAATTAAGCTCGCTAAGCCGCAGCCTAATCCTACATATTTGGTCACAGTAATATCTGAAAGATTGAGGAAAGGTCAGTATTCCACGTACTTACTCCAATTTAACATGAAGACAATAACATAAATTAAAGCTCTTTTAAAAATTTTTGCAGGGACATCAACAATCAATGTTCAGTGTTCAAGAAATGACCGTCACAACCCACCGTCATCGACAGCCGGCAGATCCTCCGCTAGAGGATGGACAACGGGTATTTCCAGAGGACGAATAACCTCGCGACCGTGGTACCTCTGCGGATATGATGTATCCATTTCCCACGTTTTGGCAGGTCGGCCTCTGTATACGCTATCGTAGTTCTCTAAACCTGCCATTCTTTTCGTGCTAAATAAATCGTCGTCTTACCGTACATTTGAGTGATTAAAACTTTTTTCATAGCATCACTCAACTTACTACTTGGCGGCAGCCATCGCGATTTGACAGCTACGTTCACACCTTATGCATTACTTTGAATGTGTAAGTGTCATCATCAGCGAGCTATATGCATACTAGAGTGAATCTTGAAGGAGTGGGGGTGGTCCACAGTGGAAGAGAGAGAGAGCTATATTGGACGGGAATGCTGTTTCCACCGGACACGATAGCAAATGTAGAAGGAGACAGACGTCCCCGTTTACTGTTGCTATCCTTGAACCGCGAACTACACATTTTTATGGAAAAGGCTGGTCGTCGCATGGCACAAAATTTAAACATATTGAATCCGGTAAGATTTATTCTATATGTATTATTTTGATAAAAATGACAAAGAAATGGCAATGAAAAAAGTTATTGTTTTTACTTGTAGGGAATATTGCAAAAGAAGCCAGAGATTTGAAGGTAACTTTTTTATATTTTTACACATTCGTGATTATTCTGTAGACAGAATTTATAACTCGTTGTATACAGATCTCAATTTACAGAATCATATGTACAATGATATGTAGAACAATTCCTATTTCATATGATATAAAAGTTCATCATAGACTATAGTAACATTTTGCATTACATATTGTCGTTAAAAAAAATTGTTTAACAATCTGTAAAATTATAGTATGCACTATAGAAGAAGATTGAGCAATTTTCTCAATTAAAAATTTATAAAGAAACTTACGCATAACGGATTTATAAATAGTACATTTATATATTGTTGCTAAAGTCCTGTTCTAATTTTTTAAACCTTGTATATATTAACTAATTAGTTATCAAATGTTAATTTTTGATACATTGGAACAGTTTGCAAACGGAAGTACCTTTATACAAAGTATAATTATAACACAATACAAGTGCACTAAAATTTAAATAGGAAATCATATTTATAGGTTCTTAAATCATTTTTAAAGCTATATTTCTTTTAGGAAGATATTATTTTAAGAAAATATAGATAAAAAGATGCATCTTAGATTTCAGCATCCAATTGTATAATTAAACTAAAACTGTTGTGCAATTTATAATATAAATAAAACAAAATTCATCACACATAAGTACATATAAGTATATTAAATGAGAACAAAATGCTGAATGCCTTTCACAGTCTATCATTTTGACATTCATGTTTGTTCTCCAACGTGATGTATAGCCTCCTAATAATGAAGTATACTAATTCTTCTTTCATAAAAGTTAAAAAGTTTCAAAAATTAAAGAAACACTTTTTTAATCTCGATAAAAATGTTCGATATCTATGTAGTGTACATACCTATGCAGTTTTATATATAATCTTACAAAATTGTGTATATTATTTTCTGTCTCAAAGTTTTACACAATATATCTATTAAATAATTAAAATCTCAAAATGTGTATCGACGTACTCATTTTTCTCTTAAAAATGCAATACAGTCACGTGTGATGTAAATACATAATTCGTTCTTTGGACCCTGGATTCTCACTTTCGTAAATTTTAACATTACGTAAACTAACTTTATCTTAATTAACTATTGTTCCTAAATTAGTTATTTTTCACAACAGTTGGTCATGCTTACTTCGAATCCAATAAATTTATTGTGCGTTGCAACAAATCGTTTATTGCATAAAAACGACCTGTCCTTACGTATATCTTGGCATTGTCTCACTCCACTCCTGCTCAGGTCGAATAAACTCCAAATCGCTACCGTCGGAACTATTGTCGTCGTCGAAATACGGCCTGGCAACTTCATTATCGTTTATAGGATATCCTAGATTACAAGTGGAAATTAGCATTTATGCACCAGCAATAAGTTTCTAAGCGTTTCTAAGTGTTAGGAAAAGAAAAGGGTTTAGTACAAAAAGTATATCAATATGCATTTGGAAATAATTACCATCAACTGGTCTTCGAAATATCTCAATCTCCTTCTCATCGTCGTCGAAGAAACTACCGCCGTCTTTCAAAGGGCTAAAAGCGTATTCTTTTCTGCTTCTCTCCGAATTTTCCGAATATTGTCGCTTCGCGCAAATGTACACGCAGCACAATACAATGCCGAAACATATTGTACCTGCAATCAGAGTACGATTATACTATAAATTCACTTTAACAATGGCGTGCAAATTTTCTTTTCATTAGTTCCGTGCATTCTTCGTTAAACCTTCGCCCGTTTCTCGAAACTCAAGTTTGTAAAACATTCGTGAATAACGTTAAATACAAAATATCTCACCCGTCATCATGATGAATACCAGTCTCGGCATTCCCATGAAATTATCATCGCGGGTAAGCTTGAATATCAGAGGTGAGAATTTTCGCCCCTTGAACGAATGCGCGGGGACGAGTTTGGTCTCGTCGTGGTATCCGGGCGCTGTGGCCGTTACATTGTGATTGCCGGGCAGCAACAGAATTGAATAGAAGCCCGACTTGTTGTTTTTAACAATGTGCGCCGATTTGTCGTAGGACAAAACAGCGTCCTCGATCGGTTCATCGTCTTCGTTGATGACGTATCCCCTCACATCGTTGTTCATCTCCTGTATGCAGGCTAGCAGGCCGGCTTTGTTCTCCTGCCACACGGCGTCTGAGTGATCGGTGGTGCAGCAGGCGACGTACACGTCCAGCATCAAGGTGCTCGTGTTGAGGTAGATGTAATCGAGCAAAGGGTGGCCTCTTCTGCCGCCAATTCCCATCGCCGCGTGTATCACGCTGTTGTCGCCGATGTTCGTGTTTTCGCATTTCGCATCCGCGGATAGCCTATCCGCTCTCGCGTCAGCGTACGCCGACGCCAAGTGCCGCAACAAATTTTCGTCGGCGCTCTCATACTTCCGCTCGCGCGTCTCCCCGTAATCGCCGCCGTACGGGATCTCGATGTGCCGCGATCCGCTATTCAGATTCACGGCCAACACGGCGTTGAGGTCCTTAAACCAATTCGCGATCGCGGCTGCCTCGTCGACGAGCTTACCGTGAATGGGAAACTGCAAGCCGTCCGTCTGCGGCGAGCAGGTGAGAGTCTCGTTGGAGTCCGGCGAGAAGTTCGGCGCTATGTATATAGAGAAATCGTTCAAGTAACGCGCGATCGTGGCATTTCGCTTGTAATTGTCCAAGAGATGGGAGGCGAGATGCAAGAGCACACCGGACGTCACCGGTTCCGACCGCAACATGCCGGCCGAGAACACGATGGCGGGTCGTCCCGTGCTTTCGTCGTCGTTGAAACCGATCTCCAGACATCTGATCTCGCTGCCTTTCGCAGTTTTGCTAATGGTATGCAGAGTCGTTTGTCGCGGATACTTGGCGTTCAGATCGAGCAACGCTCGATTCACAAAGCTCAACTTTTCGCGCGGTCCCTTGCGGCGATCGTCCGTCTGCGCCATCTTAATATCGAGATTCGTCACACTTTGCCGTTGCACGGGAACTCTTAAGACTTGCGTGTCGTATCCTTCGCAGGAAACCGTTAGCGTGTATTCGCCGGGCGCAAGTGTTATCTTGAAGTAAGCCATGTTCTCCGACACGCCGTAGATTTTCTCCTCGATTTCCACAGTGGCCTTCCGCAGCGGGCTACCGTGCTTATCCGCCACCGTCGCGCGGATTCCACTCGCCAGACTCTGCACGAGGTCCATGAGCGGTTGCAAATTTTCGCGCCAGATGATAGGAATCGAGTCCGCGGGCGGATACTTGCAGCACGACAGACTTATGCTCATCTACGCAAGCAAGCACACATTTACACTTGGCAGTAAATGGAAAATGAGTGTAAAAGACTTGTATTTACCGCTGGCGTGTCGTATACGCGTTCTATGAAATCCGTTATGCGTTGTGCATTGTTGTCCAAACTGCAAATTTCCTTGTGCCTCAAATGCTCGTAATTCTCGGCAAGCGTTTTAAACGTGTTCAGATTGTCTGAATTTGAATAACTGTGGAAGATAGAAGTTGATAAAAAGAGACTCGATATGATAAATATCAATAAAAAGTTGATTTAAAATAAATTTATCTCATATCAATAACTGCGATGATTCTGAGCTGTTTTATATATTGTATATATTAAAAAAAGTTCATTAAACTCTTTCATAAATCATATTTATAAATTATTTTACTAAACTTGCAATTAAATTTCAAATTGAAATTCTACCTGATTTTCGAGGCTCCACTTTCCAATATCACAACGGCATCGTAATTCTCAGTCTGTAACATCGCCTTAAACATATCACCACTAGACGTATTGTTGTTCAGTAACATTTCTCCTACTTCGTTTTTCATTACAGGATTGCAATCTTTATTCTCCTTTATGTTATCGAATCCCGGATCGACGGCAGGAATAATATGCAGTATCGCGTTATCCAGCATCCTTTGGATAGGTGGGTCTCCAATTTGACTTCCCATCAAAATATGCGTCGCCAAACGTAGTAGAATCTCTCTTCCCACCGGCTGGGAGGCAAACAACCCTCCCACCAATGCGATGCGGAATTTATTTTCGTCGGGTGATCCCATCTAGAAAGTGGAATTTTCAATTGAATAAAATGGGCAATACGATAGACAGCCGCCCGAAATCATACTCACATTATGCGTAATCTTAAGTGAATGAAGCGCCGAGTTAATTACTGAATCGTTAGGTAGAAATTCCGCAATGTCAGGCTGATGCTTTTCCAATTGATTGAATCTTGCACTCAAGTCGCTATTTTTTAAATAACCATTCTGCAAATTTGCCCTCAATCCAAAGTCGTACGCCGATGACCTATAAAATATATGTACGCATGAAACATCTGCTCCGTTAATGATTCTCATATCTCTGGAAATGTATTTCGCAAAAGTGATAAAATATCCGTGCTAACTACTTGAATAAATATTTTCGTTTCGATCTTCCGTTAAAATCTGTTTCAGTTCTCTTCTTCTTGAGAAAAATCCGAATCCAAAAAGAAGAAGCGTACTTAGAAAGAAGTCATTTAACAAATTCATCGTGAAGCTAGTCTTCCAGTTTTCCACCTTATGAAAACATATCAATTTCACATCGCGCAATCGCAGATATGTTTCTTGAATTTTAAATAAATAATCATACCAGTGCAAAGGATCGTCGCGCATTAACGTGAAGTCCAGAGTTACTTCTCCATCGCCGATGTCTTCGCCGTACGGCGATACTGCGATATTCTGCGTGAGCGTTTCGTATCCCATCGCGGTGACGGTGACGTTGTATTTCCCCGGTAACAGCAGTCGCCAATAATCGCCGCCTTCGGCGGTGTAAATATCGTGCTTTCTACCTTCCACCGAAATCTTTGCGTGGGATACGGGAGTGCCGATGGACGAGCTCACCGTGCCGTGTATACCTTTGCGAGACTGCAAGAGAAGTGCACTTTTTAGAAAATCACCGTGTAAAAATTTCCTTCCGCCACCGCGCATATGTTTCTATTACATTTCCAATATAGCGAGAGCTGTGAAATATGAAAAATACCGCACCATCTCGACGAAACGAAGAAGGGGCTCTCTGTTCTCCAGCCAATAATTCGGCAGATCGCTGGCGTTCGGGTACTTTGTGCACCCGATTTCCAAAGTGATCTCGAAATCGTTGCTGTGCAAGTAATTATAATCCTGCATGCCGCCCGACACGGGGTACCAGGCGGCGCCGTTCGTTATCCCGTCGGGGAAGCGCTCCTGGAGGAGCGTTTTCGCGCTGTTGGGCGTGATCGGCGGACACGGTTTCGCGAGGTGCATGCGGGGATGAGCGTTGGAGTACGTCAACGCCAGCATCCTGAAGATGTCGTTGTCCGGGCTGAGATTCGAACGGACGACGTTGGACGGAAGGCCCGGCGGTCCGTTGTCGTAAGGATAATTCGCGACTAACGCTCCTCCGTGGAGATTGGCGGAGAGTACGAACGGGATTCTCGATATCCACTTCATCACCGCCTTGGTCTCGGGTTGCTGGCGCCGATTGAACTGAAACAGTGCAATTAACGTAAGCACGGCATTTGCAGGCGAGCGTCATGATTCGAACGGAAGCTGGCAACGTACGTCGTTGATCTCGTAATGGTCGGGAAAATTTCTGTTCAGGTCCACGTCATCCGCGTTCGCCCTGCCGTGCAGCCCGTAGACGTCGCCTTCCTTGGATATCTCGTATCCGTCGGGGTTCATGCTCGGCATCACGTGGAGTCTGACAGTCTCCACTATCCGCGTGACCCTCTTGTCCGCGCCGTAATTCTCGCATAGATATCTTAGCAGCAGCAGCAGCATTTCCCGGCCGACCACCTCGTTCCCGTGCATGTTTCCGACGTATTTCACCTCCGGCTTTGCGGAGCTGTGCCTGCCGGGATCCTTCGTGACCTCCATCACGTACAGCTCGCGGCCTTGCACGGAGGACCCTATGCTGTAGAGCCTCGTAATGTTGGGATAATCCGCGTTTAGCTCCTTCAAGTATCTCTCCATCGCGACGTAGTTGTGATGCTCGAATGCCACTGTGTGATAAAAGCCGTACTTGTCGACGGGTCTTACTTCTTCAATGTTGACTCCATCTTCTCCTGTATCGTATGAAGACACAATCACGTTTGTTATCCATTAAACCAAAAATCAAGAGCAAAAATGTACAAAAACAAATTGCTTAACGTAACATTGGAATGCGTCAGCGCATTATTATGTGAAATTAAATCTGCAAATAAATGCAATAACGTAAAATAATATTATTAAAAGTAAGAGATAAGCATGTTACAAAACACAAGGTACAGAGAAAAACAAAGCCAACACAAAAATAAATCAAATGTATACGAAATTAGTGCACATACAGATCTAAATTTCAGAGGAAAAGGATAAGCATTGAAAAAGTTACTCATTGTTCAAGGCGAAAACAATTTCTTTTATTTCTAATTTTGAACAATACATATTTGAAAATATTCAACATACACTAAAATCTATACAGATAAGATTATGAATATATCGCCTATTGACATGTTTTCACAGAGATCTACATATCTTAATATATGTTTTCGATACATAATAAATTGGATATTGGCAGTACTATGTATTTTACATATGACATGTAAAATACTGTACATCTATTTTTTTTCCATTTTTATGCGCTTGCAGTCATTTTGCAAGAAATGAAAACAAAACACATCATATTGTCATATTCATACAGAACTCTTATTTTTAAACATCATTTACAGAAATTCAAAAATCTATCCTTCTAGTTAGTTCTTCTAGTTAGTCAAATAATAAAAATAAAAATAAGATAACTGGATGTTAGTAGGAAAAAGCTGGCTAAAATATCTAAAAGAGATTTTTGTTCACATAACTTTATCGTAGTAAAGTAATGTATTGGCAATGTTAATATTTATTCTGCTATTATTTTAATAATGCGACTTGTGTTCAATTGTGGCAATAATACTAATAATGAAAAGTAAATTACGTAATATAACGCATTTGTTCGTTTACCGTTAAAAGAAAAGATTGCAGTTAGTGATTTGTTCATATGCTCATAAGTACGTATGTAAAAAATAATATATATAAATTACAAAATATGATAGTTTATATTTATGTAAAAGTGTTTCAGTCTGATTAAAAAATATAAGTAATCTATAAATATTATAGGTAACCATTTTTTATCTTTGTAAAAAGATATGTGTTTGGTCAGTTAATGTTCATTCACTGCTACTGTGGATGTACTACTTTCCAATTTGCAGACAGGACATTATTTGTTAAAATCTTTGTTAAAATGTATGATATTTTTATGCTACGCGTATAAATTTTATATACGATCGAGGAATGTTCGAATGTTTATAAATATCGATATCTCCGTGAGGAAAGAAATGTGGACAAGACGTAATTAAGATTAAGCAGCGAGTGATAGTAAAATTAATGTATGCCTTCTGTCACAAGCTGGAATATAGTTTAAAACGTTTTTCTTGTTCAATAATATTTATATAAATTATATAAACGATAAAAATAGATTCTAAGTTCTTATTCTTTTTCTCTGCCAAAACATATGCAACTCGTAAGATTCATTTCTCCATACCTTGTGTGTATAATTGTGTATGTGATTATAATTATCTATACATCTTTCTTCATTTCAATCTTATTAAAAAAAAAACAATAATAATTTTTCATGGCTCAAAATAAATAAAAGACTGCAACAAATTTTTACATTTCACAACCGACTACAATTTTTGCATCTCACAGTCGAATACTCACAATAATATAAAATTTAAAAAAATATAATAAAAATTTTGATCATAACATATTTTTAAAAATCTCTAATAAAATAATAAACATTTTTTAAGATATTAAATTTTTTTTAACAAGCTATTTAAAATAAAATCATATGCAAATGCGAGAGATCTAATTAATCAATTGTTAAAATAAATGATTAATGCATTAGTAATAGCTCGTAGCATTTGAGAGAAAAGTAGCTGTAGATAATTTAAATGTTCCAAAATGAGATCATTAATAATCCGGATTATCGTAATCTATTATCATTTTATAGAGTGCGGGGAATCTGTTAAAAAGTGGTACTATTTGTGGATAGTCTACATCAGTTTTACCTTGATCGTAAGGTACTTCTCTGCCGTTTAATGAAAAATTAAGAATCGTTGGCCTGCCTTCGAATACAGTTACGTTTACCGGCTCACTGGGCTCATATCTAAACAGAAAGTAAATACAATAGAATTTTTTTTACATGGGTTTTATTAATTTCATAGAATTGTAGTAATTACGTACCCCCATGCAGTAGCGTAAACTGAATAAGTTCCTGGAAGCAGTAAGCGCCAGTATTCACCGTCAGCTGTGCTTGTTATATTATGATTTATACCTTCCACAACAATATTAGCGCTTTGGATTGGATTACCATCTTTATCACGTACAAAACCTGCAATCAAATCCGGACAGTATTATCAAGTTTGTTTCGATATATAGAAATTATATATTTAAACGGTACCTTTAATTCCAATGTGTGCCTGCTCCAGATATTTAATCAGAGATTCTTTGTTCAATCGCCATTGATCCGGTATCGTTGAGCCTGGTGGATATTTGCAACAGCTCAGTTCAAATGTTATTTCAAACGCATTGGAACGAGCATAATTGAAGTCCTGCATTCCACCAACCACTTCGTACCTGTGAAAAATTCAAAAAATGTCTATAATGCCAATTTTTGTGGAATAAATCTAATTGAATAATTATTCAACATGCCAAACGATAACAATATCTAATAATTTCTAAACAAGATTATAACAGAAACGTCATCAACTGTCACTGAAAATCATAATACAATTATGCTTACCAATATGCACCATTTGTAACACCACCTGGAAATACTTCTGGCGGACAAGCATTACCTCTACGCATCTCTGGATGATTGTCTGCGTAGACGTGGGCAAGATATTTGAATAAATTATCATCTGGGCTTTTACTCTCTATGCAACATGTTCTTGGGATACTAAAAAACATATTTTTTGTCAAACATAGAGTTGCTTATGTTTTAATGACATAACTATTATGACAATTTCAGAATATGCTTACCCAGAATCATATGGGTAACTAGCTACTACAGCACCACCATGAAGATTTCCAGAAAGCACAAAGGGTTGACTAGAAATCCAAGTCATCATAGCAATTGTTTCATTCTGACGACCATTCAGTATTGCATTGCCCTTTCTTAGCTGACTGAGTCTTCTGTCAAACTGATCGGGGAAGTCCCGGTTTAAGTCAACATGATTGGCATTTTCCCTGCCTGAGAAATCATCCTTGGATTCACATTTTCCCTCCTAAAATACAGGAATTTTTTAATGTTTATCAGTTCTCACATTATTCATCTCGTGTTGTAATAAAGGTGGAATTGCAGTGTTGTTTTTACCAGTGATTTTTCGAAACCATCCGGATTCATGGACGGCATTAAGTAGATGTCGGTCTGATTCACTAGCCTGGTGATGCGATCGTCCCTGCCATATTGATTCAGAAGATGCTGACCAAGGATGATCAACAGTTCTCTGCCCACAGGCTCGTCACCGTGCATGTTGGCGACATACTTAACCATGGGCTCACCAGGACTACGCTGAGCGACATTTTCGGAGATCTCGAGCACCAGGAGATCGCGGCCCTCAACCGATTTGCCAATGGAGAACATCCGGGCCAAGTGTGGATATTTCTGCTCCAAGGAGTGGAACAACCGTCGGAGATCTTCATAATGCGTGTAAGATGTGGTAACGTAATCGTCGTCCTGCGGCTGTTCGACGTCTAACGGATGGCTGTATGCGAACGCGACCACGGCGCAGACGAGCACGAAAACGACATTGCGATGACGTTGGTCTCCCATTTGCGGGACTTGGTTTTCGCGGTGGTTGATTACTGTCTAATTTCACTGCACCGCGTCTCCTTATTATTCCTACCGCGCGAATCACAGATTCATATCATGAGACTTCTTATCCTTCTGTATATATGCACAATGCTGACGTCGAATGAGTGGAGTGGGTGATGAGTGGGCGATGAGTCGAAAGGAGGGGAAAGCCAAATGTCATGTAAGCTACATTCAAAAAATATATAGTATGAATAAGTGCTCACACTGACAATGAACAAAAAGCTATTTTCTAAACAATTTTTAATATATCTGCGCACATGCGCGCGTAGTTTCAAAAATATTAACTTTATTAAAAATGTCGATTTACATTATTAATAAAATATAAAAAAATACAAAAAAATGTATTTAAAAATTCGTATTATCTTAAAATTTAGCTATTTAAACTAATTTTGGTGCGTTACCTGTTTCAGGATAGGGTTATGTTTCGAAAGGACAACGGTTTATGAAACGGTTGTGTAACAATTGCTTATGATTAATTTATACCTCTTACACATGATATCCAATAAAAAAATTATTTTTTAGAAACAAACATGGCGTTACATAAAATCCCTAAAAAATACATTTTTTGATTGGATATTAGTACTAGCCTCGTAGTTTTGACGTTGAACGCATTGTGAACCTACCTTTGGCCGCTTTCTCAGTGTCAGTATTTTTAACCTTACATAGAAAGATTTTGCTGTATCACGAATTTTAGTAAATAAATAATAATTAACAATGACGAGTAACAAGCAGTAAGTATAAGAAAAACATTAAAGTGTTTATATTACATAACATTTTCATAATTACATAATTATATAGATTCTTTTTGAATATTCAGATATGGTCTAATCCTGCCAAAAAAGCAACAGGAGAAAACAGCACCAAAACTCAGCAATGTTTTCGGAGATGACAATGCTTCCGACGAGGATGATGGCACTGATTGGGTTAAAAAGGCTCTCAAGGCAGAAAGTGAGAAGAATAAGATGAAAAAACAAACTAAACTCGACATACAAAAGGCTTTAAATGAGGATCCGACTATCTATCAATATGATGAAGTATACGACGACATGGAGCGCACTAAAAGTCAAGCAAATCTCACTAAACAAATAGAGAAGAAACCCAGGTATATACAGAATCTCTTGAAAACAGCAGATCGAAGAAAAAAGGAGCAGGAGCATAGAATAGAAAGAATGGTACAAAAAGAACGTGAAGCAGAAGGTGACATGTATGCAGACAAGGAAAGTTTTGTCACATCGGCTTATAGAGCGAAACTGGAGGAATTTAAAAAAATGGAAGAGGAGGAAGTCAGAATGAATAGATTAGAAGCTATTGGTGATGTGACAAAGCAGCAAGACATGTCAGGATTCTATCGTCATCTGTTTGAACAGACTGTTGATTATAAAGGTGAAACTAATGAAGATGGAAGTAATAAGACAACGGGAGAGGAGATGGAAAAGAAAAATTCAACCAGTAGCGCAAACAGAGAGGAAGAAAATACAACAGTGGATAAGATAACAAATACAATCGATGAGAGACAGAAAGTAATTACAAAATCGAAAAAATCAAGACAATATAGGCAAAGAGCGATAGAAACGTATGAATCGGACTCGGAAACTGAAACGAGTAAAGAAGATTTGAAGAAAGAGCAAACCCTCACACCACCAGCAAATGAAGACATTGATCAATCGGAAATACCACAAGAACCAGACAGAAAGAAACAAAAACAAGATAAAAATGATGTAAATAAGGTTGAAAACACAGATACAAAAGATAAAAACTCAAATGTAAAAGATACCGAAGTATCTGAAGATCACAAGGAAGCTATTGCTTCAGAAAGCGAAAAAATCGAGAGTAAAGAAAAGCCTGTTGAAAAGGATAGATCTTCCATCTGGCAAAAGAGAACAGTAGGTCCAATATTTGAAGCAGCGTTACAAAGGTATTATACAAGGAAGGCAAAGAGATTGGCTGCAGCGAGTTAAATGTAGTTAATTTCTAATAATTTTTTAATTATATAATACTAATAATATACAATTTCTTTTTTATATTGATCAGGTAATAGCATAGAAATATTGAATTTATTATATTGACAAATATGTACAAAAGGTTGATTTGTATGTGACTGTAAAAAATGTGTATAATGAAAAAATTATAAAGACAAAATTCATAGTATTAGAAAATTACAAATGTATTTAAAAATATGTATTACAATCCAAGTGCTCAACAGTTTTGTAATTTAAAATAAATGTTACAGTTCTGATATTATGAAAGTAAAATATACTACACTCGGATACAGAATACCATTCCGAAATACCGTTTATTCTTTGCGTTACACGCATACTCGTACACGCATTTTGTTATAATGTATACTGTAAAAAAAATAGCTTTTCAAAATAACCATCTATTTTGCAAATTAAGATAAATTGCAAGAAACACCCTGATGTCATAATTATATAAAATATATATATTTATACATACGTATATATATTTACATTATATTTATATACTATGTATATAATTGTCTAATTATTTGATATCTGGTTATATTATTCTCCTTTCAGACCCTGCATACTGTAGAATAAATGTGCAGGAACATATTTATATAATAACATAAAATCAAAGGCACATGACAAAATTAGAAAAAAATGAAATCTGTCAGATATTAAACATTTCAAAAGCAACAATTCATAAGATTCTACATTTGATTTTGAAGAAAAATTTTTGAGTTACATTCTTTTAGATATTTTTTATGAAATTGTTTTTATCTTAAAATATATAAATACAATCATGTAAATAAATAAGTATGTATATGTATTATAATTTTGTCATTAAAGTGTCATTTTCATCTTATTTCACATAATAAATGGTTATTGTAATAATACTTTATATGTATACTGTAAGAATACTTTATACAATTGAGATAACTCTCGGCAATTAGATTTATACAATTGTACATGATTCTATTACACTAATTTATGAAATGCAAAAGTTATCTCTCATCAAGAGATGAAAAAAAATTTGTTATCTGTTTATACATTTTGTATGCAGTCTTAATGTACATATTCAATAACTTACGGTATATTATTTGTCTGCATCTTCATACAAACGCATTTTTAACTAGAGGTTATCTCTTGAGGTAGCATATGTCCTGTGTCTCCCAGACAAATAAGCGTAACTCTGCCATTAGGAAGAATGCAGAGCCAGGTGATGCTTCCATGCTTTAAAGATATTCGTAGCCATGCTTCTGGTGGAAACTGTAAAGCTCTGAAGAAGAGAAAAGAGATGGTTAGAAAAAACATAGACAATAGAAAAAAATTTTTATCAAATCAAAGTAAAAAAGAAAATCTTACCTGCAAACAAAATATCTGATGACATTTGCATGGCATACAAGAATAGTGTAAGTATCTCGTTCCTGACTAGGATCTGCACGATAAAAATATTTTCTAAACGCTGCTTCTATTCTAGGCCCATCCTGAAAGAACTAGAATATCACTAAATTAAGTTACATACATCGCGCAAGAAAAGTTTATTTCTTAAAATCTCTTTGATATATGTAATAAGAGTATAACAATCAATTGTATTTTACTCACATGTTTCTCAGACTTCCATTGACCTATAGGCGGTTCCGGAGGTATAGGTGCACCTTCGACTAATAAACAATCACTTTCAACTGGCACATCAATAAGACTTTGTTCTATGATTTTGGAAGTTTCTAAAGCACGTGTCATTGTAGATTTTACTATCAAAGAGTAAGGCAGTTGTAACTTTGCTAGCCTTTTTCCTGTTGCATCAGCTTGTTTTCTACCTTTATAGCAACAGACATTCTTATAATTAAAACATATTTAGCATATATATATCATAATCCATATGTTTATATATGCAAAATTGATTTGACATGATTATGCAGAAAATATTCAGTGTACAATATATTGCATTGAAAATAGAACAAAATTATGATATCTCCAAAATTATGATTGAAATTCTAATGCATTGCTTTAGTATAATTATTGAGACATGTAAAAACTTGTGCATCGTACCGAGCTCAGTTAGCATTCTCTCAAGATCCGTCTTTCCACTTGTATGATATTGTCCATGACGAATCAAGATTATGTGTCGAGCAGCCTTGGCTTTGTTGGCCTCAAATTTTTCATTGTATTTGTTCTCATCGCATTCATCCTTTATTTGCATTGGTTTCACCAAGCTTTTTGGATCCCTTCTGCAAATGTAACACAAGTTGTCAATGTCGCGAGTCAAGAATCAAGACAAATCACTCTCATCAAATTACTTCTCTCAATTTTCTCTCATATATCCACAAGCAAACATACAACGAGAATAAATCACCTGTCCCAATTGTGATCCCATTTCACCGAGGGTGTGTAATTCGTTGTCCACGAATTGTGCACTCGTAGGGAGTCGAAATTGCTGTATGTATTGCAGTAATATAATATTGCACCGCTTACTGCTCCCAGTCCTAGAGCCCATTTATGTAATTGTGATATAGGTGGCATTTTGCGAAGGAAAACAAAAAAATTACAATAAAGGATTGAAAGCCCGCATATAAACGACGTTTCTTTCAGTGAACCTGTGGAATTCTAACCTTTCGTATTTTTGAACTTCTACTAGTTTACCATTTCCTAAGTAAAGGGGCAGCACTATCTATTTCTTATCTATACCTCTCTTTCTTTTCCCCCCTCTCTCACTCTCTCTCTCTTTATTATCCTTTATTATAAATTAAGTACATTATCGATGAGATACAATTGTGCATCGACGATAATTGATATTGTACATTGTGAAGATAAAAGATATAAGCATATACAAAAAAATAAAAACATATATAAGATATCGTAAGAAGATATTCTGGTGTGGCAGGTAAAAAAAAATTTTTTTTCATTATTTTATTAGTTTAGGGTCTTAAAATATGTCCATAAATATTAAGGTGAAATTCGTAAAATTGACCGTAGCCATAAAAGTTTAAAGAGCGCAGCTAAAAAGAACACGGCTACAGTATTCTTAACTTTTTTTGGATTTTTTCTGTCATCAGTGCGCTTGTTATTTGTGAAAAGTGTACAAAAAACATAACATTTAGTAAAGCAAGTTTCCGTGGATTGGGATTCACCTGGTATAGTCGACTAAAAGTAAGTTATTGAAATTATTCATTACCCACATCGTAACTGCATGAAAAACTTTAAACGCGTTTTTCTCGAAACGACATTTTTCAAATCGGACGTGTATTTTTCTCACAAATTACTGAACCGATCGACTTGCAGTTTTGCACACATATAGTGTACATATTAGGCTATCGTTTCATCCTCCGACATTTTGATATCTTTAAAATTACTATTTTTCCGGGCCGCGAGAAGTAAATATTTTTTAGTAAAAATCAGAGTACTTTCTTTCAAGCGCCGCCATTTTGTCAATTTTTATTTAAATTATTTATTCGAGGGTCGAACGATAACTACATTCATAAGGAATAAAATTTAAAAAAATTTGTTTATTTCAGATGACGAGGACGGCAGCAATTGTCACGCCCGATAAGAAAGGTTTTTTGCGACATGACCTGTGCGTCCACCTGTATCTTATAAAATTTATAATAAAAAAGCTTTGTAAAAATTTGAGGTGTTACTTGAAATATGAATAAATGTGAATACAAAACTTGAGCTATGTAGGTTTAACCATTCTTATAAATTTAATTCCCAAAAATCATTTTGAAAACGTGTGTTCACATTAGAATGCCCCCTTCCCAGCAAACACCAAGTTACAGTTATATAATT